CCTACTCTGCCCAGTGACCACAGCCTTGCAGCCAGCAGAGCTGCACAGAGCAAAGCATGCTGCAGGTCTGGCCACAGCACTGCCACTCCACGCACCTATCTCATGGCTCAGTCCGTATCAGGCAGAGTAAGGAAGGCTGGAAAACACAAGACCTCACATTTCTGAAATGTGATCTGTTAGAATGCGCCCTGTATTTGCTAGGATTGCTGACTGCATGAACCAGTTAGAAAGCTGCAAGAATTTACTCTGATTTTTATTATCTTCACTGGTTATTTAACACCTCTGACCACCAAACCCACCCTCAGATCAAGTTACCTTCAAACACTCAACTTCAGCTTAATGTTAATAAAGCAAAAAAAAACCCAAACCCAAAAAAGACAGCTCACCCCTCATAAGGAATACAGAGCAGTGGAGTGGTGCTTCCATTAACCCCTCCTGCCATCCATAATATCTACACACCGATAATAAAGGAACAAGAGAGGGGTTTACACATGTGCCTTCGTTAATTTATCTGGATTACATGCTTCAGGTCTGGGCTCAACAACATGCTTCTGTGCAAGCTTTCTTCACGGCTCTGCACCTCTGCTCTCTACCAGGAAAAGACAGAAAAGTTATTTCTGAGATCATGATGATATCAGGAGGACCAATTCAGTCACCTGGCAGCAGCTCCAGGCACCACTATGGATGCCACAAACCATGAGCTGGAACGTGGATGCCACGAGCCTGCATTCCAGGCTGTGGTATGTAGGTGCATAGGGACAGGCCAAACCTGGTCCCCAGGGATGCATTACTGACACCCTACAATAACAGGATGGTGACGTCACGCTGCCACGCTTAAAAACTTCAGGGATGGTTACACTGATGCAAGAGATGCACACACAGCAGACAGCGACTCTGACATCAGGTGGGATTGGACAGCAGCACCAAAGAGGTGGTGGAGCTCCATCACCAAGCAGAACTTTGGTTCCCACACCAGGCACCAAAGGGCCTTAGTTTCACTTACACATGCTGGCCACATCTAACACATTCAGACATGCCTGACTCACCCCCCACATGCCTTTCAAGCACACTTTATGTACGCTACAGACTCAACAGTCTCAATAATTTAGTGGCGTAGCACACTCCCAACCAAGAGGGTAACTCTTAAAAGTCAAGAATATATAAAAAGTTTCTCATCTAAAGGTGTAAATTGACGTCTGCCTCAGCAGAAGGGCTGGCTTCAGTAGCTCTGCCCCTCCTGCCCGTCCCCTTGTTCCCAGCCCTCCCATTCAGCTGTTCACACAGTCCCACAGGGAGCTGCACCGGGTGCCTGATTCAGATTAAAAATAATCCAGGAAAATCGCATCGGGAGAGGAGGAGGAAAGGTGGAAGGATTTCAGTTCCTCCAATCAGTGCAAGATGGAAATGCAAAAAAAAAACACACAAAAAAACCTGTCATGCTGCATCAAGGGAATAACACAGCAGCATAAAGCTGCAGCGGGGCTCTGTCAGTTCCAGAAGTACTGGAGTTCAGCAGTGCTGCAACTGAACTCCTGGGGAAGGCACAGAGCAGAAGTGGAGAAGCTCGCTGACCTGCTCGCCCCCAAGCAGCAGACAGCACCTCCTGCAAGGGGAGGCCCTGCAAACAGCTGCCAACTGCGTGCTTCACACTGGCATCTGTCAGAGAAGTGCAGTCCACCTATCGGATCACAAAAGCAAAAGCACACAGCGTTTCACAACCAGGCCAAAAGCGATCAGCGCACACTTCCAGGAGTATTATTGATCTACATCACACAGGCTGCTGCTGGCAGCTGTCGGGTCTGCAGTTCACACACGCGACTCGTAACCACAAGGCCAACAGCGGATTATCTCTTGGATGTTCTTCCTGCAATGGGAAGTACACGAAGCGACCGTGCACAAATCCGCTGGGGATTTAATCCCGCCCTGGAGTGCACATGCGACTTCAGCACACAGCCATTCGCGGGAGCCACCAGCACCAGAGGTCAGCAGCAATCCAGCAACGCAACCTCCTGGCTCAGGACGGGGCCGTCGCACAGAAATGGCCGCATCCATCCACACGTGGGGCTCGGCAGCACACCCGAGCAAGGCTTCATCCACAAGCACAATACCCGAGCACAGGAACTGGCCACCAGCCAGCTCCTCGCCCTCTGCCTGTGGAGGTTATGGAGCAAAGCCTGGACACCAATCCCAAGCACACAGAGGCGACCGACACCAGTCTACAGCATGGGCAAATCATGCCCGAGCAATGAGACTCCCTGCAGTGAGAAGACTGGCTGCACAGAGAGTGCAATCAGCAGCACGACCCTCGGCTGGCTGCCAGTAACAGCATCCATCTGATGGACACAGGGAAAAGCTTTCTGGTGATGTGAATGCACTCTCTGGACACTTGTAGAACTGTGAGAAACGTGTCACATGCTGGAGGGCAGGGCTGCTACTCCTATTTGGAGGAACTTCAACAGGCCGGGAAAAGGGATGTCAAGAGCCTCACAAAGTTCACCTAAGGCCAAGGGAACCCCACACCTGGGGTGGATGACCGGCTGCAGGAGCACAGGCTGACTACAGAGCGGCTCTGAAGAAAGACATCTGGAAAAACAACTGCCCAAGTGCCAGCATGCACTCTCACAACAGAGCTGGCCTGCACCACTCACTACGGCCTCAGCAGTGCAGCAAGAGCACGAGAGGCTGGGTCCAGCCAGCTGCTCAGTACTGGCAACACACAGCTGCACAGGGGTCCCCAGCATAAGAACGGGTTCATTTGCTGTAAGCATGGCCCAGCACTAGGCCGGGCCCAAATAAAGGACACCATCCCAGCATCATCATCCATAGCAATGGCCAGGGTGGGCTGCGCTTACCCTACACACTCTGCAGTGAGCTGGCCTGCAGCAGCAAGTGGCCTACACTACATCTCCAGCACAGGCCCCTTCCCTCCGCCCGTATGAGCCTATAGGGCACAGAGTACAGATGCCAAGCAAGAGACACGCCAACACAGCACTCAGGACTCACACGCACCACTTCAAACAACAATTCCCTCTGCCACTCACACCAGCAGCCCAGCCGTAAGTTCGCACCACTCATCTCCATCCTCCCCTCTCAGCACTACAACCCAACGCACGGCTCCTCACGCACCACCGGGGCAGCGCAGGAAGCAGAGGCAGGCCGGCCCAGAGGCACAGCTCATCGTCTGTAAACCAACACCGCCGGGAAGCAGCACACTGCGACAAAGGAGGCGACGTTTTTCGGGGCACGGAGCGAGGACGGGCCAAAAAGGCGTAAAGAACGGAAAGCGGCGGCTGGGCAGGACGGCTCGGCCACCTTCGCCGCATATTTTTCCCCCCCTCGTTTATTTTAGTGCGGTTTTACTGAAGCCCTTTTCACAAACGGGTGCCCGGGCGAGGAGGCGCGGGGAGAAGGAAGTTCCGCGCAACAGTTCTGGCAGAGGAAAATGGCTGAGCTCGAACGCAGGCCAGACCACCTCGCCGTTCGCACCGAGTCACATCGCACGCCGGACCCCGCCGCCTCTCCTTTCTCTCCCCGTGAGTTAAAACAAAGGACGAGCGGCCCAGGGGCGCCGGGACGGCAGCTTCACAAACGGGTGCCCGGGCGAGGAGGCGCGGGGAGAAGGACCTCCCGGCCCCGTCCCCGCGCGGCCCTTCCCAAGCCTAGGCCCCCACCTCCGCCCGCTCCACCCAGGGCCGCCCCCCGCGGCCCCGCGGCCTCCCCGCGCCGCCCCTTCACCCCGCTTCACCCCGCCGCCGTCCTCACGCCCGACTTCCCCCCCCCCTTCCCCCATCCCCGCCGCCCCCCCTCCGGTCCCGGCCTCCCGCGCCGTCCCCCCCCCGCGCCGCCCCCGCTCGCGGCCTAACCCCGCCGCCCCGCCCCGGGCCTCGCCTCGCCCCGCCGGCCCCGCAACGCCGCCCGCACGCGGCCGGGCCGTGGGAGCGCCCGCCTGCCTGCCCGCCTACCTCCCACCCGGTACATGTTGGCGGCCATGCCCGGGACGGGGCCGGGTGCGGGGCGCGGGCCGCTCCCGCCGCCTCCTCCTTCTCCTCCTCCAGGTGCCGGATCCGCTGGAAAATGGAGGCTGAAACGGCCGGGCGGGGGAGGGGAGCGGGGGAATTAAAGGGGCCGCGCCGGCTGCCGCCCGGCCGCTGAAGGAAGGCGGGAGGGCGGCGGGCGGAAGGCGGGGCGGCGGCGGGACGGGAGCGGCGGGAGGGAGGGAAGGAAGGAGGGAGTGAAGGGGGAGGGAGGGACGGACGGAAGGAGGAGGCCGTCCCGGAGCGCTGCGTGGGGCGGAGAGCGCCGCGCCCGGCCTGGGGGAGCCGAGCGGGGACGGGCGGTGCGCCGCGCTTCACGGCCAGCTCTGCGCGTCCGTGCGCGGGGCGACGCTCAGAGCTTGCGGGAGGACGAGGCTAGATCGGCCGGGATGAACATCTACAAACCGCACCGCAGCCGCTCGCGTGCTGTGGGCTGATCTTCCCGGGTGCCGAATTGAGTTTTTAAGCGGCAGAACCTCGGCGGATTGCGCGGTGCCCCGTCTCACGCCGCTCAGACGTGAGAGCGCGGCTCCGGCCCCGGGGTTACGCGGCACGGGGCTGAGCCTCGTCCCTGTGGACGCCCTGTGGGCGCTGCAGTAGGCAGCGTGAAGAAGGATCGGGGACCGCTGGATAGACATCGCAGGAAAAAGTCGTGCTGGGCTGTCAGCGCAGCCCCGTTTCCCGTAGTTGAGGCCCCGTGGGAGCCGGGCATCCCCAGCCTGCTCACGGCCGGGTTCCTGGAAGCGTGAGCGGTGCTCGTCCCAGCTCCGCTCTCCCCTGCACTCTTGCCAAGCCCGGTTTCCCCCACTCCCAGCCCGCAGCCACCAGGCGGCTCAGCGCCTCCCAGCCCCGAATCCCCCCCTGTGCTGGCTGTGGCACCCAGCGGCTCTTCCTGCAGGAGATGACCGCCCCGCCTGTGCCGAACAGCCCCTGCTGACAGATGACTCCAGGGGCGGATGTGTGCTTTCATGTCCAGTTTTATTAGTGTTGCATTAGTACCATAAAATAGTTGACGAGGTCGAGCACGTTGCGGTTTGTTCAAAAAAAAAAAAAAAGAAAAAAAGAAAAAAAAAGCTATTTACATTTAATCTGTCTTCATTAAAAAAAAAAAAAAAAAAAAAAAAAAAAAAACTTGAGAACCCAAATAATACAACAATGAAACAGATGGACAACTCAGGAATCTACAAAGTGGTAACGTCCCATCTTGTGCGGCGGCCCAGGCAGGGCTGACAGCACAGCACACAGTATCCACAGTGCTTCCCCATCACCACGGCACGCAGCTGGGCAGGCAATGCCCTGCAATGCTGAGCAGGTGACTGCTGTGCTGCAGAACAGTGCTCTTCCCTATGGAAACCAAGGACCTGCTGACTGGGGACGGAGGCATCGCACCCAACGTTGCTCCAGGACCCCCATCCCCGCAAACCCAGCAGCACCCATCAGCTTGGCCCCTCTCAACAGGATCTTCCTTTCAAGCTTTGAGCCACAATATGCAATGCCCCAAGTCCTGGCTCTGCACTGCCCCCTCCGTGCCTGTTGCCGGTGAGAAAGGACCGGGAGGAGCCTTCCTGCATGAGCTGCTTCCCACTGCAGCTGAGGAAACTCACAGGGCCTTTGCTGCAGTGCCAGGTAAAGCTCAGGCCAGTGGGTGTTGGCCAAAGGATGACCGCACGCTGACAGCAAATCTCCTCCAGCCCCAGCAAACGTCCACCTGTGCCTTATTAAGTCACAAACACACACCAGTAACACAGCCAAGCCCAGCTGAGGAGACAGTGGCCGTCCCCAAGCTCATGGGTAATTAAGGACTCTGCAGCTACTGCTGAGATGGAAGTGATAAGAATTTCAGTGGATGGCAGCTGCAGAGTGGAGCTGAAAAGCCACCCAAGACCCCACGTGTGCAGCAGGACAGACAGCAGGTGACCATCCCCAGGGCTGGGGACGAGCCACAGAACCCAAACCAAAGGACCAGCAAGCACACGGTGCAACACAATGCCACAAAACCTTCCATCTCTCGTCTGCTCACCAGTGCTGTAAAACCAGGTCAGTGCCACAACGAGCCCTCACCTCCAAGCAAGGTGGAAGCCCTTCTCCCAGCAGTGTTACCATCTCCCTCCGGTGTTACCCGGTGAATTCAGGTGTACAAAGTTACACCAAAACACAAACTAACATGAAATGCAACGAGCGCGAGTGCTTCTTTCTCACATACACACACACACACACACAGTAGAGCAGGGCAATGTACACGTAACAGGCAGGACCCAGCAATCCTGCACCAGCTACTGCCTGTTTCTTTACAGTAGGTTGAAACACACGCAGAGGAGCACAGCGTTCAGTCATTGCAGCAGGGCTGCCCATCCCATGCCTGCCACAGAGCTGCCTGGCTGCGTGTGGTGCCCAGAGATGGAGCCCAATGCTCAGCTCCTGCCACAGCAGTGGGAGACTCAAGGAAGAAATCTCACACTAATTTCCTTTCAAAGGGGTTTTTCGATTCAACAGCCTCAATACAATTTAAAAGAAGAAAGAAAAAAAAAGAAAAAAAAAAAGGATGTGCTTATACACCATCTCCCACGCTGCTGCTGCTAGGCAACACTACGCAGTCCTACAGCATCAGCTCAGGTCAACCAAAACCACAGGAGTAGATGGATACAGCGATGAGAGCTGAGCCCTGCCCCAGCTGTGTGCTGGCAGCTGGGAGGCAGTGCTGTGGGAAGGGGCAGCAGGAGCATGCACACAGCCTGCACAGCATCCTCCTCCCATGTGGTCACGGGGAGGATTTCATTAAATCAAAGCCAGCAGAGCAGCCCAGCCCCGAGCTGCAGCAGGGACCACGCTCTCACCTTGCTCCCCATCAGCCCACCAGCAGGGCAGAGCAGGACCCATACCAGCAGGGCAACACAGATTCTCCAAACCTTTCAGAGAAAAATATAACTACTGAGCAGCTAAAGCTGGGAAACGCTCAAAAGCATCCCTTGTCCTCCAACAACACATTCTGAAAATGCCAAGGTGTGCCAAACAATCAAAAGCCAGGCCAAATAGAGCCCAGGCACAGGGCTGCCCAACAGAGATGAAGAACCCATCTAGCTTCATCCACTGCCCCGTTCCACCTGTAGTTCTCCACTGCAGCACAGGACCACATCACACAGCAAAGCTCAGCCTGGAGCAATGCCCTGCCGAGGACAGGATGCACCTCATAGAGAAATGAATGCCTGCCTGAGCAGACAATACTCCCAAAGCAGACAGCGAGGACAACTTCCTACAGCCTGCAGGTGGGCACCTGCCTCCAGCAGCTCTGTTACAGCCTCACAGTCCCTACAAGGAGAGGTGCTGGGTGGCTCAGCTGGGCACAACAGCAGCACACCCAGGTGCAGACAGCGCAGTCCAGGCAGGACAAAGGCAGAGCAGATGAAGCAGCCCAGACACACTATCTCACATGTGCAGTGTGACAGATGGATGGGCAGGCAGCTGGCCTTGCAGAGCACCTGGCTGGCTGCAGCTCCAGCCACTACAGTGGTGGATCACTTCACAGGCAACGGCTCATCTTCCTGGGTTTGGTAGTTCAATTTTTTCTTTTTGGCAACTTGTTTTTTTTTTTTTTTTTCCCCCCCTTTTTTTTTTTTTAAATTATTTATTTGTCTTTTTTATTTTTTAAGAAAGCATTAAAAAAAATTTGCGGCTATTAAAAAAAAAAATCTTTTCCCCTTGGAGGCTGGACGAGGTTTTATTGACAAGTAAATAATCGGTGTGAGTATGTAAATAGCAGCGACCCCACTGACGTGGTGTCCCTCAGCAGCACTGCAGGTGACCGGCTCGGTTTGGTCACTGTCACAGACCAGGGGGCAGCAGAGGTTCCTTACACCTTGTGTTTCCCCAGCTCCTGCTCCTGCCCAGCCTTCCTCAGGCAGCACTGAGCACAGACACCTGCCCAGCCCCAGGGCAGACCCCACGTAATGCAGGGCAAGTTCCTCTCTGCCCCTCTCTAGCTCTGCAAACCACCGGTTCGGTTTTCAAACCAGACAGCTGGTCGCCCTGCAGACTCGCTGATCTCTCATCCTTTGGCAGCAGGAAGAAAGACTGGCCATTGGTTTTCCTAGAAATATGGAGGGAGGGGTCAAAACGCATCGTAACATGCAGGATCTTCTGCAAAATCCACGGCCCCCCCAGCCCACACACACCAATGAGGTCTCAGGTTAATAAGCAGTGCAGTTATTCAGCTATCTGCTCCGAAGTGGGAGGTGTTTGGGCAGGTTGCCTGCTCCTGCCAACTCCCCCACAGCTTTGTTGACAGCACATCTATATTTAAGACTGTTGTTGTTGTTTTTTTGCCTTTGTTTAAAGGGGTTTCCTTCCCTTGTAGTAAACTTAAGAGTTAATAGAAAAAAAGTAATTCAAAAGTAATCCAAGCACATCTGTAATTAATTCTGCAGGAGAGGGCAGAGTGATGCGAGTCGAGTTGGCACGCAGTTCCTGGCTCCTGGTGTGCAGTCCCTGGGATGGACAGAGGTCCCTCCGAGCGTGGCTAGAAGTTAGATTTGGAGTGCCCAAATATGCAGATGGGAAAGTGCTTGACATGAGAGGACCACTGTGCTGCCAGTTGAAAGAACTTGACGTCGTTCCACTCCACTCCGTCAATCAGGACTACAGGGGAAGGTTAAAAATAAAACAGGTAAGTTAGAAAACAGCAAGGGTAAGTGGTCAGCCAGAAACAGCTTTGCTAGAAAGCTCCTTGCAGTCAGCAGAGGGAGGCCTGGCTACATTCTGTGCTCAGGGTGTGAGCTGCACTGCTGGGCCAACCCACCACTGTTGCTACACGTGGCTGAAGCACAGACCAGTGATAGGAAGAGCGGCTCAGACTGCTGCTCCAGCAGCACTGGAGCTTCCCAGACTGCTGATTTCAGCTTCACCTGATCTGATCCCTCCAGTTTCCCAAACGCTCTCCGCTTTCTTTTTTGAGCAAACATGCTCTTACGGAGACAGACACATCACACTTCTCACCAGGGGGTCTCTGCCTTTCCTGCAGAGGTGATGTTGTTCTGCAACCACCCCTCACTCGGCAGCCTCACATGGACTGGGCCAGAATGAAGGAGGGTGACCTGAGAAAATTTCTGTTAACAGTACTGGGAATTATTACTGAACAGGCAACGAGGATATTTTTGAAACTGGAGACACAGCTCCCCTGACAGACACTGCTAAGTTTGCCTGCAGATGTGAGCCCTTCCCCAGCAAGACCCCATTACACCAGCTCCAGGGCACAGGGCAGCTACGAGGGCAGCTCTTTGCCTGCAGGAAAACAGCTGGCAGCTGAGGCTCACCCCAGAGCCAAGGAGATGCAAGCTGTACATACCCCGCAGCATGTTCTGCTGATGCTTTGCTGTGCAAATCAACCTGCTGATTCCTTCAATGCACTGGCTCTTTGACTCAACTTCCTTGTCTTTTGTTTTCTTGGGTAAAAACATCACTGGAAGAAAATCAAACGGGCAAAGAAAGTGAATCTCTGCTGCTCACAAGAGATGCACCAAGACTCACTAGTGATGTTGTGTTGCTTTTTTTATTATTATTTAAATGTTCATGTCTCAAAGTAACAATTGAATTCATTTCTTAGTTGTTTGGTAGGAGTTTGGCAGGACCGTTTAGCAGGACCATGCCAGCACTCTGCACTGCCATCTATGCACACAAAGACTTCAGGTCCAAGCATCTCAGCCTGGCGGTCAGGGCATGAGCTCCCTCCTATCTCACCCAGCATCCCACACAAGCAACAAGGAACACTGCTGTGGACACTGTCCCTGTGCACCTCCAGGCCTTCTAACACAGTCACCCACAACAGACCTTTCTCTGTCCCCACTGTTGTTCCTTTGAGCTCTGCCATCTTAGCCATGAGCACAGACACAACTCCTTACAGCACAAAGAACCACCATCGTTTCAAACTAGCACCTCATTAAGCCACTTCTTACCCACAGACAGACTAGGATCTGGGGACTGACTGTAACACAGGACTGACAAATCAGCCCCAAGGCTGCAGAACAAGGAGAGCAGCACTGCATTCTTGGCCTTTGGCAACAGTCAGCACGTTTACCTTACCTTTCTTGTTCTTCTCCTTTGTCACGACGGTCATGGACATGGTTGGAGTGGTGGCGATCTCCCCGCTGGCAGGTAACCTGCTGACCTGGAGGGACCGGAAAGTGCATTTCAGTGTGTTTTTGGTAGTGGAAGGGTCCTTCTTCTCCGGGTCTCTCTTTCTGTCCATGGGTGGAGCTGCAATCCAGTAATCCACCTGCAGGCCCATCAGCTCAGCACCAAGGCCCTGGCTAGAAAACAAGAGAAGCAGCTCATTTCTGCACGATGCTCAGCAGAGTTCTCTCACTGTCTGGTCAAGAGCAGCAGCCACTGAAAAACAGAGCTGGGGAGAAATGCTTGGCTCTTTGTGAAATCAGGCAGCAACATTTCTTGGTGAGATCCATGAGTCACAAACACAGCAGAAGTCATCACTGAGTGATGCAGCCCAGGTCACATTACAGGGTGGCAGCAGCTCAGCACTGCAACAAGCTGGAATGAGCTGACCTTCTACACAGGCATGGAGTTAAGCAGTGGGGAAGGGATCAGACAAACCACTTCCCAACATGGAGTGCAGTGACCCAGCTAGCAAACCTGACCCCTGAGGCGGCCCAGGGTGGCTTCCAGTCTTCAAGAAAGGATGAGAAGCTGTAAGCACTTACTGGCTACTGTCTCCCAAGCACTGATGAGCGAATGGCCTGGCCAGGCACAGCATTGCCAAAACCATCTCTGTCTGAATTACTTCCAACCCCTATGTCCCTGATCTCTTTCTGTCACCAGCTTCCTTCCTTGTTGTTCAAATGCTCCACCAGGTCACACAGCACTCCTGCCCTTTCCAGGTCCCTGTTAGGGCATGGAGCAATGCGCTCCTTAGCCCTGCTGCTGGCTGGGAAATTCCTGTGCTGGGTAAATGCTTCACAAGCCCTGTGATGTTTGCTAAACAATGGCAGATTTCAGGACATGATGTGCTATTGAAAACTCCCGCACATCATGGGGCAGCAGATGTGCCACCAAAACACACTGTCAGCCTTTCTAAAGCCTGAAAAGGGAAGATGAGCAACCTGGGAAATTCCACCACCCTTTCTGTCTGCCCCTTCCTCACACTACCCAACCCCTGTACTTCTTCCTACACGGAGTTGATTAACATGCAAGTACTGAACAAAAACTGATCTATCAGTCTGCTGACTAATTATGTTTAGCAGGGTCTCATTTAAGAAATGGTAATTGTTTAAAAAGAGATTAATTGAAGCTCTTGAATAAAATAAGCATTCCTCAACATCACTTGCATAATCAGAAACTCTCATGTAAAATAAGGATAGACCACCACTAGTCTTCTCTGAAAATCATTTCCTTTATCAGTTATTCAGCTGAAGCCAGACAGCAACAAAGTTCATCCAGGTCCACCAAAACCACAGTTTGGTTTCTGAGTACAGCTTCAGAACCGAGATTGTTTCAAGGATTTTTCACAGCACATTTCTCATCTCAGTTGTAAAGCTGGTCCCAGACACGACCTTGGCTAAACAAGTGGCTCAATCTTCCAAGTTTGGATCATCCTCCATCTCCTGTGCAGTCACATCCAGGTCAGTGGAGATGAAATAACGTTGAACCTAAACTTCCTCTTAACAGCCTGCACTCCTGGGGGTACAGTTCCCAAACCACTTCCTCGTTTGAAAAGCCCATGTGAATCTCCCAGACGAGATGTCAGCTCTGCCCTCCAGAGCCTGCACAGTCTCAACAGCAGCAAGCAGCTGGGACTCTCTGGGCAGCGAGGGCTCTCCCAGGAGCCAACAGCAGGGATTTGGTAAGTGAGCTCCTAGGGCAGGCTGAACCCACTAACACTTTCCACTCACTGGGCATGTGCTTAATCCAGGACTTCCACATTTCCAGTTCCGTTTGCTCAAAGGAAACTTTAGCTTCTGATTTCTAAAATTGGCTTGAAAGGGCCCCAAGGGGCTCTCAGGGATAAGTGGGAAAGGGACAGTAGGAGACGCTGTTTACAGAGAACAGTCTCTAACTGCAGGGCACTCTCTAAGACTTCCTCAGTGTGACGATCACAGGGCTAAGGATGTCAGAGGGGACATCCCTGCATCATCCTCTGCTATCCATTAACAGATCTGCTATCCATGAATTTGCCTAACCCCTCATTGAACTGCTGATCCCGCTGCTACAAAAGTAGCAGAGGCAAATGTGGTCCCTACACACCTTCCTGTAGTGTGCAGAAACCCCTTCCTTTCTCCTTTACAACCAACCTCTTGTTAATTTTATGTGTGCCAAGGTCTTGTACCAACAGGTATGGCAAAATACAGTTTAGCATTCAGCAAATCCAGCACTGCTACAATTCTGGAAAACATGAGAACCTTACCTCTGTCTCCTCTTCCCCAAAACTACAGGATCCAAGCATTTCTGGCCCGTCCTTATAAGATGTTACATGCTGTTCTGCCCCCCTGGTCATGTTACCTGTGCTCCTCTGAAACTGCAACTTCATCATGTGCTTCTGGAGGTGGATACCAGAACTGCACAGCAAGAGCAAGATAGCTACACCAACATTTTGTGGTTCAACAGAATGAGTCCTCACCAGAGTAATTCTTTACTGGCAATCTTCTGCTGGTTTCCTCCCTTTAAGTCTACACGTTTCAACTAAAGCAGAACTTCACGTTGCTACAGATGCTGTCTCCTTGCTATTCAGATATGCTCTCAGGCAGTCTGCATTTACATTTTACCACCTTACAACTATCCCATGTCACAGAGACAAAGCCTGCTATTTCCAGTGAGTCACTCTGACTTTACAGTTTCTTGGTCCTTATAAACGTTTTGTAACAACTGCGAGGGATTAAGCCAGCTACAGAACAGGTATCTGGGGATTAGGGTCAGTATTTTATTTGGCTACATAACTCCCCAGCAGAATTCAGACTCAAAGGGAAATTTCCAGAAGACAGAGAACACAAACTTTCCCAAACAGGTTGCCAAAAATCATGGTTTCTACCAAGCCATCAGAAACAAAAGCAGCCCCTTCTCATTGAACATGCCTGTCCTTGAAAAATGTTTCTACCAGGTGTAAGATCCCCTCTACCTTCCTCAGCTACCCTGGGGCCAGCAAGGACCAGAGGCAAGAGAGGCGCACGACAGAGGTGACATATTCAAATGTTTGCTGAGAAGGAAGAAGGCAGAGCTACATGTTTTCCTTTTGGAGCTTTCCTCCTTCCTGGATATGTCATAACACAGACAAGGGGGGTGTATGAGACAAAACATGCTTTACCTTGAGGATGAGAAGCTGCCTGTGACAGACGGTGAGGAAGGTGGTGTGGGGGAGGCTTCTTTCACAGCAGGAGATACAGAAGGTGGGGTAGAAGAAAGGACACTGGAGCTTGAGGGAGCTGCATCATCAGAGTCACCTTGCAGAGAGAAAGCCAAGCTGTTTGTCTGTGTTTGTCTCACAGTCTAGCACGTGCACACTGGGGTAGCTCAGTATCTTTACCCACGCTCTTGCTGTACACATCTCCGTATTGGCTTTGTTCAGATGCAACCCAGAGATCAGCTAGCCCACCAGCTGTGACTGCTCCACACCTACAGCATGGGACTGCCTATGTCTGGGTAAGAGGCAGAGACATTCACAATGCTCTGGGCTCCCCATTGGCATCTTCTCTCCCAGCTTTTGTTCTGAGGTTCCCAGCTGATTTTTCATTAGGAAAAAGACTTTCTGATTAGTAGTATGTGAAGGAGGAAAAAAAGTTCACACTGAAAAATGTCACTACACCATGTCAATAGGTGTAAACACGTGTAAACAAGCTTTACACTCCCACATTAAAACATGGCCCAAAATTTGTTGTTGGACTGGCAAACTGCTGCCTGTCTTGGAGTTCCCAGTGTTGGGCTCTTGTTTGAGATTGAATTCATTAGGGAATGGAGCTGCCTCTCAAGTTGGGAGTAGGAAACCTCAAGTAACCACAGTGGTGAATCCATATTGCATACACATACAAAAAATGGGTGTTAGCCCATATCTGAGTGGAAGTTCCCTGGATGAAGGTGTGGGAATTTCAACTAGCCTGAAGCTCTCTAAAAAGTACCAAGAAAAAGAGCTTTTTGAAATACAAAGGAAATTCTTTGAGTTAAACGCAACAGAACTGAGAGCTAACACAAGCAATTTCATCTTACAAAAACCTGAAGACACGAGCAACAAACAGGTCTTTCCAGCCTGTGAAATCAGCCTTCCGTCAATCTGTGTGACATCAGAAACAGATATGAGATGCTTGTTACCTGACGTCGCAGAAGATTGTTCCACTATTCCAACTTTCACCACCTAGAAAGGAAAGAGCAAACAGGACAACTCTGAAACAGGAGCCCTATGAATTTTGGGAACTCTTCACCTCCCAAAGTCAGTCCAACCCTAAAGCTACCTGTGGCACTGTCCCTACAGTCAAAGCAGTGTAAAAGCATGGTAAAAGTGGAGTTTTGCAAGGCCCAGCAGGTCCTATCCACATCCAGATGAGTAGAACCAGCTCATATCCCTTCTCCTACTTTACCCAAAAGAAAGCACCAACCCTACATAGCTGTTACAGACTTGCACAGCTCCCACTAGCCTATAAGACTATAAGGCTTGCCTATGCCTCCTGTGGGAATAGGGCAGAGAGGACAAAGGAATACAGGTATCTTTTTAGCACTGCTCTGATGCTGGGATTGCTTCCACCACACAAGTGCAGCTGCTTCCAGGCAGCACCAGAATTGGGTTGTGTTAGGAAACCACAAAAGCAGCAAAGTACAGATTCCGATCAGAGTTTTCTAATCTCCAAACAAGAGAGGTATCTGGCAAATAAAATAAAGCTCCTAGCATAGCTTGTATGCACAGACAAACCATCACATGTACAGCTCAGAACAATTCCAATCACACTGTAATGTGGCCACAAATGCACACTGATACGAACAACCACCAGTCAGTACACTGAGTATTCTCAAGTCAGTAGAACATTTTAGAGTGAGAAAATGTCACTCAGCCTATTTTGCCTGAAAACAGAACATGATTAAGTTTGTGTAGAGCACATCTTCAGGGAGCAGATTTCTTTGCTACAGAGGCAACAAACAGGACTTAATCATTGAAGCAAAACACTTTGCACAGCTCTTGAAGTGGTGGGAGCTGGCTGTACACTCAGCACCAGACTTAGAGAGCTTGGAGGCTCTTTGGTAGATTGTTAACCCCAGCCTCGGAAAAGTCACTTGGAATGCAGCAGTGTGCGCAGCAGAGTGGCTTGGGAGATGGAAGTAGGACTCTCAGTGGGCCCTGCAGCTCAATCTGGCCAACCTTTGTTTGAAGAGAAACAAATCAAGCTCTGGAGTCAACAGCCACTTGTGCTGCATGCGTTAAATGCCAAGAGGATGTTTCACAGACTCTAAGGAACTGGGAACGCGAGGAGACGAGGCATTAGAGTTAGGGAAAGAACAAGGAATACAGAAAACTGCCTGCAACCACCTTGATCTGCAAGCCAGAAAGGAAATCTCTTTCGGCCTTTTCCTTTCTGTTGGCTGACTGATGCTGCTCGAGGTCAGACACATGGGAGGAAGACGAGGCTAAATGCCTTCCCTTCATTCAGGAAGGGGCGTGGGACTCCTGCCCTTCCACCAAAGCCTCCATCCAGCAATGATGCAGCCAGCCTCCTTTCCCTGCAGGAAGGATGTGCGTCCTGTTAACTCTCCCAGCACCTGGCTGTTGGCACAGTGCAGGACAATGCAGTGTCACAACCACGGCCTGTGCGTGCAGTCGGCCCTTCACAAGGCTCTCCTCTGACCTCTCAGAGCCCAGCTATGCAGCACAGCCAAAACAGCTGCAGATCTTCAGCTTTTGCAGTCCAGAAGCCAGAGTCTAAGCAACATTAGGAGTCCCAGACACCAACATTTCCAGCTCCCTCCCTTTTTGGCCAACAGCCCCAATGTCAGGAGTACATCAGAGGCAGAAATAAGCAGCACTGACCTGACCCTCTCCACCAGTCAATGTGGAAAGTCAAGCGGTATTTTCAAGGCAAATTTGGGGGAAATTGGCAGCATTACACACAGACACTTCTCTCTTTCTCTTCTACACAGTCAAATCGAGACTGGAAAAGTGTTGCTAATGTAAGGATAATATTCATTTAAGGAGCAACCAGACAAACCCTCTGGATCCCATTTGCTTGCATATGGCAGTGCTGAACTAAATCAATCCCTATGAAAAGCTCTGCAGAGTCTAACTGCTCAGTAAGACGGGCCCAGGAGCCTTCCAGCACTTCTGAGCCTTTCCTGTTAGTGGGGCAGGGAAACAGCTGTTTCATGACAGCAGTTCTTGCCCAGCAACCACAGGACACACACAGTACCACAGCAAAACTCATCAGCAGGAAGCAAATTGAGAAGATGTGCCTCTACTTTAGCAAAAGGTATCTTTCCCTCTACAAATAAAAGTCTATTGTCACCATCACAGGAGCACAGCAGAGAGATCTGCACTGCAATGAGACAGAGTGAAAGCAAGGTCAGCCTGAGTGCAGGAGTGGATCAACTCTTTAAACTCCTTGGGATTTCAGATTAGCTCTGACGCATTGATGGGGATACAAACAGGAACACACAGCAGTCAGCTTAACACAGAGTAGGTAGAACAAGGCAACCAGCAAGCAAGAAAAATGAGCTACAGGGCAGAGGCAAGAGCTGTGGAAGAGAACATGGTAGCTGAAGAACAGTCAAGGGTTACCCTTTGGGCCACAGGACAATGACTCAATACCTAAAACTTAAGGAATTGAAGAGCATCAGAGAAGGGGAGGGAATCTATTGAAGGCAAAGCACATGGTGCACAAAACACACCAACAGGAGCACAAACACACCCTGCCCAGAAAGAGTGCACTTTAAAGGTAAAGGCAAGAAGGACAAGTCAGGGACTACCATCCCAACTACATATTCATATGATAAACTACATTAAACAGCTACTGCCTTAGGCAAACCTAACAGTGGGATATGTGATCTGCCCAGTGGGATGTACTCTCCTTTTCCCAGGAGTGGATGGAGTATTTAGAGGGCTAGAGACCATTCATGATAAGCATACATAAAACTGATAATGGAATACTACATTTGGCCACACTGATCATGCAGGGTAATACTCAGCATAGGAAACTGAGATTAGGTTTCCAGGAACACACCCCGCTCCCCTGACATGGCACAGCAGTAACTCTGTGCCAAACAGGTGCTTTGGTCTGAAACAAAGACAGGCCACAGGGCAGAGCATTTTGGCAGCACGCTTTCTTCTCTGTACTGAAGTATGTAACAGCTAGGCTATGGTGCTTGCTACGTGCTGGCGGGCATGCAAGCCTGGAACTGGCTGCTTGGGAACTGAAGCACCAGCAATGTTCTGAGAGGTCTTAGAGGCATGCTTACACACGAGGCGGTTGCATCCCACCATCAGATGCTCATGCTAACCCTCCGTCTTAGAGCACACAGTGCTCCTGCTGTACCCCAGGGACCAGGGAAGTGTTCTAACCCTGTGGCATGAGACATTAACTAAAATACACTCACCCCAACGAAGGGAATGAACTTCTGCGAAGATTCCTCGTCAGGGCTAAAGGCAAAGAGAAAGGAGTTGTTAATAGCTTGCTTCCACGCTGGGCACAATACTCACTTCATATGTTGCATTCAAGCATGCAGCAGGGATGGACAGTATGCAAGCGCCAGTCCAATGTCTCCTCTCAGGGCCCCTTGCCAGCACGCTCAGATCTGCACGGGCAGGGAGGAGCACACAGCTTACAGCCCATCTCCGAGGGGAAGGTCTCCTCCTCCCTCCCGCTTCACAGAGAAACATGCTTTATGGCAGTACAGACACACGGCCTCCTGCTGCGAGGAGATGGATCTGCGCCACAACAACACCAACAACTGCGCGTTACTTACTGGGACCTGAAGCGCTCTGCATGGATGGCCGTCACACGTCCCACCTTTGGAGCCATGTGCCATACCTTGCACATCCCAGCATCTCTAAAGCAGTTAGCCTGCCACGGGGTTACAAGCCGTGACACGTGGTTATTGGCACAGCACCGCAGGACGCACGCGCACACACTCACACGGATGCACGTTCCCCGCCATCGGGAGCTTGCACAAGAAACGGAGCGCACTGGGGAGATCAGGACACCAGCTTGAGAATGGCAAACAGCTAAACCAGACCCAACAGAATGCACACGATGGCCCAGAGATGCCTGAAGACAATACTATGCATGTTCCTTCCTGCTCTGCTCCCACCCAGGCTCCAGAGACCAGAGGGTGAAGACAACAGGATGGCAAGGCAGGCCACAGTCAGATCTAACAGGGGCCAGAGAGAATCCACAAAGACTTGGGGAGGATCCAAGTGGGTTGGAAGGGCCCACAGAGCCACTGCTCCCCTCTTGTGCTGCACACAGAGGCACGGGTGCTGCAGAGCACACCCATACGTACAGAGGAGGTGAAGTCCAGCCGAGAAAGTGACTGCACACAATGCTTCTCAGTGGCCAAGGCTGGGAAACAGGTAGGAAGGCAAACACCAAGATTCTTCATGTTTCTCTTTTTGCACATCCCTCAGTGCTCAGAGCAGTGCAACATTCAGTACAAAATCCTGCACCGCCTTTACCCACAACGTTGCTGTTATTGAGGGGCTTTGCTCCCTCCCTGCTCTTGATCCCAAGCACTGCATCTTCACTCTTTCCCTAAAGCACATCAAAAAAATGTCTGAGCTCCTGATGGTGGGTTGGTGTCCAACCACGGATGCAAGTCCCCAGCAAAATTATCTCTTCAGAGCACAAGACTTCCAGCTCCACTTTTGTCAAGGGAAAGGAGAAACCCGTATTGATGCTGAGAGAAGCTCAGCTTTCTCACCCTTCCTTCAGCTCTACAGCCTGCAGATCAGGCAGCACCAAGTCCTGCTCATCACACAAAGGAAGCGCAGTCATAGCTCAATCATCTCACAGCTACTGCGTGGCTTTGCTCCAAGCTCTTCAGAAGCAAACCTTACCCAACGCCAGCAGATAACTTGTTCACATTTCCCCAAGGAGCTCCATCTCACCAAAGAGAGTAGAGGAGCTACTCTGCAATAAATCATTTGCTTCAGCCACCACTTCACAGTGACACATAGGCAGTCCCAAGCAATCTGGCTGGGTTGCAGCTGGGCTAGTCCTGTCGCACCCTCTGGGCAACTCTTGTACAATCTTGTACATACACCTCTGAAAATGCAGCTTACCAGAGCAGCTGCTCCTCATGTAGACCAAAGGAGAGCTAAGATGACTGTGCTCCTTCCTCATTTTCTCTTTTTCACTCTTTCCTCTTTCTTGTCCTTTGCGATCCCAAAACATTCATCCCGAATCCTCTCACCTTAGCCAGTATCTCTTCTATTTCTCCTACCACATGCATGCATACCCACCTTTAATGCAAAGCCAGACCTGACCCTGGTTTGTGATATTTTGAACTGTGGTTTTGGATGCTTCATCTATATTTCTTAGGAATAATAAATCCTAAACCCATGCAGAGAGGCTAGAAAGAAAATCTTCTTTACCTGTAATGGGTGGTTGTCAAATTACTGGTTTTGATTGGGTATAATCCTTCCACCTGCAATCAATTGTTCCAACCCAGGAACAGATTAGCGTGTTCTCTCTCCACCAAAATAAATTAATTCAGATTGAACAAAGATGCACAGGCAGATTTAGATGCTTTAAGGCTCTTAGAAATGAGAAGGTATACCACCAGGAGTCAGCCTCCTGACAGGAGGAAGAAATAATCTCTCTCGCTTCTAGGACAAAGGACAAAATACACCTCAAAGCACGCTAGTATCACAGTAAGAGGAACTGAATAATCACTAAGAACAGTTATGCCAGTTGCTAGGCTTTCCTTAAGATTTTGTTTACAAGTTCCACCAAGTCTCCAGAGCTGAAATGAAGCAAAGGGACAAAAGGACTCCAGGTTCCAATGACATTGCATGAGTGATCTCTCTGCTTCCCCATAACACTCTCCTACACTGCTCTTCATGCTCCCACAGCAGACTGGCCGTATGTAGCAGAATTTCCATCGTGTTCCTTGAGCCTTGATTCCTTCCTCTTCCACACCGCTCCATCAGACAAGGGGTGCAGGTAAAGATTTCCACTGCGTGAGGAGGTTCAGGCAGCAACCAGCTAGGTGGGATCAGGTCCATCTTCACAAGCTGTGTTCACACTCAGCAGCTGCTGCAGGGTGCAGTTTAGAAGCAGCACTCAGAGAAAGGATCTGGACTCTGTGGCTGGCCAACACCCCACAGGAGCCAGAGAAATGCAACAGGCAGAAAATAGCTTTATCTCTGCTTCCTATTGCCCAGGAGCCACACAGGCTCACTCTTTAACACAGGGCACTTTCTTGCACTGCAAAGTGCAAGAGCTGTGGAAGTTCTCTTAAAACTTGAGCTAAGAGTGAGTGAATGACTCAGCCCTTTCCCTACCAGCAAGCAACACTCCATTTCCAATAGCCAGGCTGCTTCCCAAGTTCATACAAGGGCTATCCAGAAGCCACGTGTCACGAGCTGTGCTCGTTGCTGAATTGTAGTGGCTGACACCAGCCCAGGTGTGCCAAACTGATCAGCAATCCAAGTGTGCTGGGAGTGAGTGGCTGCTGACAGATCTCTAACACTGTGGGGTTTCTTTCAAACAGCAATGCAGAGAGATAACAACATTGATGATGCACCCCCCCTAGTGGGAGGCCCACCTCTGCCAGCAGGGTCTCAGCTCCCAAATGCGTCCTGAGCTGCAATGTTTCTTGACAATCCACTACCCTTTAGTTCTCCCAAAATACCAGTCACACACTGTAACACAGCTGAGTTGAAATGGCAAGGATTTGCTTCCTTAGTACCTTCCCCATTCCCAGCCCTCTCCAAGTCAGGTCAGCAGATGCTCCAAAAGAATAGGACAAAGCTTTTGCACCATTTGCAGTCCACCACAGGCAGTACATGCGCCAACTTCTCAGCATGACAAACAGAACAAGGAGATGGGAAGGACAGCGGAGGTCAGTCAAATAGGGACAGCTGGCAATAAAGTTATAAAGCAGCTCATCACATACAGCTATGTCCTAAGGACTGGCTAGCTGGCTTAGCTTTCCTTGGATCTTGGGCTTGTTTAACAGAGCAAATGCTAGGATACTGGGAAATTTGTCTTGCAATGAATTTGTAGGTAGTGCTGTTGCCTATACACTGAGCATTGCCTTGGAAGCTGGCCTTGGAGAAGCCATTCACCTTTAGCCTTGAGGGAGATACAGTTGCAATAACTTTATGAACAGAGGTCAAAATAAACCATGTCAAGTAATAGTACGGTTTAAAGTAAGGGGTTCTTGTGGGCAGCTCATGGAGCACAACTCCCACCACTAGCATCCATTCTATCTCCTCTTAGGCTCAGGGAATTCCCATGTGCCTGTGATACCTGCCAGAATGCGACTAGTCCTCAACTTTTTGGATACGGAGAGAAGTCATTGGTCTCCACTCAGACACTGCACAGCTGAGCCTCAAGTGGCTCAAACTCCAAAACCAGGGGCACAAAACATGCCCTGAGCCACTGAGCACCACCTAGAGCACTCTGGTTCGAGCAGGTGGCTAATGGGAAGTCTGCTCAGTCCCAATCCTTCTGGAGCTACACTGCATCCTCTGACACTGCAACCAAACAGCAAGGATTGACTAGGAAGTAGGGAAGAAAGGCACCTACTGCTCAAAGCTTCTTCCTCCACAGCTCCTTCATTCCTTTCAGCCCTGGCAACCCATACGTGTGGCCCAAAGGCAGAGCCATTCTTTTAGTAGTGCATTCTGCCAGCAAGTGCCATAGTTTCAAAGCAGCGAACAGAATATAACCTGAAGCACATACTGAGCATCCCAGACTTGCACAAACTGTTAAACAAGGCACAAAAGACCAGCTCAAGGGTGGAAAGGAGACAGGAGATGGAAGAGGGAACCTAAAAGGAATTGATACCTTAGAGTAAAATCAAAATGAAAGCTCTTTTTCCTTTTCAGAAAGCAACCAAAGAAAGAGATAAATATGTTATTATACTTACAACAAAGCGATGCATTCATTTAGATAGTGCTCTTTTTTCATAACGTCCTCCCTAAGAGCTGCAGTTCTAAAAAAAGCCACGAGGAGACAACTGCCCATTGCTCCACGGGACAGTCTGTTCCTCTGGCTCATCCTTCAGTTTACTCATGTGCTGCTTAGCTGAAAGTGGAAGTTGTTTCAAAGCAGAAAGAGACACTGAAAGACTGTGGGCTACGCCACAAATCTGACTCGGTCTCAGTGCTCTCTTCGAAGCAAGCTCCAGCAGGGTTTGCATTTGCAGCATCACATGAACCTCTCCATAGTGTCAGGCATTGTACACACATTCTAAAATCTAAATAGATCAGACCAGCTTGGTAAAGAGGTCACTGCACCACTATTAAAAGTGAGTGTTGCTAAAGTAGATTTCAGGTGTTTGTTCAACAAAATGACCTTTTTGAGCACATCAGACACTCAAAATGATGAAATGCGCATTAAACACAAAAGTGAATCTGCAATTGAATGGACAAAGCAGTGGAGAATAGTGCAAAATCCAGCCAGTGAAGGGTGCAGAGAAAACAAAACAGCTACTAGAAAGGGTTAATGTTGCACTAAACTCTGTGTTTGTAACTAAGGTAAGTCTTCACACCAAACACAACAAAAAGCTAAGAGCTTTGAGCACCCTGTGGCTCTCCAAACTTCACTTTCATCAGCACAGAATTAAAGAAGATCATGAACACATGAAGAGAACATAGTCTTTAACAGTCGTATGGAACATTTTCATTTAGAAAAGCATTATGAAAGAGCTAAACTTTACTGAATCTTGTCTGCAAAATAGTGTAAAAGACGAATGGAAAAGCAATTCCAAACAGCAGTGAACATTCCCAAGACAAGAAGAAAAATGTAACCATCCACATTTTAATTCCTCCCTGTTCTAAGGCAAACAATGCACCAGTGATAGCTATCAGATATAACATAGGGAGGGTAGCTGTTAATTAAAACCATCCGTGCCCCACAGGAGACTCTTCAGCCTAAATGGAGAGAAATGACTCGATGTGTTTGCCCTGCTCTGAAAAGTTATTGTGATTTGCATGAATTCAAATTTATTATTCTCCACCAGGCATCAGAAACAATGCATTTCTCCTTCAGTGAAAAATCACTCTTCTTCATGGATAATGGCTGTATGAGGGTGTACATACTTCTAAATCTTTTTAGACCCCAATCCTCCGTCGGACAGGCTGCTTATCCCTTCAAAGAAGTTGAAATAAAATCTGGAAGGGAATGCCACAGCCCACAGCCTTACTTCCCCAGCTCCCAGGTCTCCAAAGAAATCACTGCATGAAGTAACCACACTGTGGCAGACTCGCCGTTACCTAAGTGCAATATATGACTGCAAGCAGGGTAAGACCAGGATCACAAGATGTCTGCAGTTTTGAATGATTTTAAAACTGCAAGTACACAAGAGAAGAAAAGCACTCCACGTCCACTGTGATGGGCATTCTGAGAAGCCAGCATTCTGTCAGTAACATACCTTTTCTGCTTGTACGTCAGCATCGCTTCGGCAATGGGCAACTGGTGCGCACAGTTTGCCCCTGCTATGTACTGCGTTATTCGGGAGACAACATCAAGCGTTTCTGCAACTGCAACAGAGAGGAGAAAATCAGTGGAGTGACTTCTCAGACCATCACTAGCACCACCCTCCATTTGCTCAGCCAAGCAGCTGACGGTACCCAGCTAGCTGCAATCAACTGCATCTTCCAAAGGAAGCTGAGCAGCCCACTCCGGAGCACTGCAACGATATCTAAAACAAACAAATGAAAAAGAAAACATCCTCCAAGAGTACCAAAATATAAACATAAGTAGGTACACTACATATACAGGCATCGAGGCACAGCATTAGCTATCAAAGCATCATGGTTATATGTGTTAAAATAGCTTTTCTTTGAAAATGTGTGCCTGCTCAGTCAACTTCAGACATTTCTACCTATCCTGACTGCACGTATCTGCCAAAGAAAGTGCCTGGCATCCCAGAGCCCCAGGTACCTGCTGTGCTCACACCAGCATTTAAGTTTCCTGATTTCCTTGTGAGCTCAAAGACACGTTGAGGTCATTGGAAAGACCAAGAGCCATGCAAGGACAGGAAGAGCACAAAGACTACTTCTGTAGCAGCGAGTGCGCTGGACATCTGTGAAAATGTGCTTGATTCCAGTCAACAGGAAGGCATTTCCCAAATGCCTTCCCCATCCTTTTGCTCCAGGAAGAGCATCTCAATTGTGAAATCAAGCAAAAGCAAGCTACCTTCACCTAACACTTGTGTACCTCAATGGGCATTTTTACCCAGAGTTGTTTCTTTGTTGTTTTTGTTTGTTTTACAATTATTTGAACAGGGAACCGCGAACAGCTATCATTGTTGGCCAGAGCTTCCCATGCCATCACGGAGTTTCTGGGCAGTTTTCACCGTACAGATGAAAATGGAGAATCTACAAGGCCTAGATGGCAAGAAAAGTGATGCTGCATTTTCCTCACTGCATGCAGGCAAGTAAATAACGGCTGCAGCATACAATCTACAGAGAATTTACACAGCTTTTGAGCTGGATCTCTGCAACTGATGATACAACCCTAAAAGCCAGACAACAGTCAAATTTATATCAATGTTTGTCTCTATTTTCAAGACATTGGAAGAAACCTGTTCTGGACCTTTCCTTTTTCCATGAGCTTAGAATCAACAAAAAACGATGGCTGTGTGCACATGAAGGTCTCCAGTCCAGCCTCCTGCTCCAGGTAGGGCTAACTTCACCTCTAGAGCAGTCTGCCCAGGGCCGTGTCCAGCCAAGTTCCCACCTGCTGGGAAAAGCTCCAAATAACCTCTTGTAAAGATATCCCCTCTCACCGTTGAAGGACTTCCATGAACATCCTGCTCCCTAGGGAGCCTCTGACACCCTCTGCAATTCCAAAAGGAACACTGCAAGTTTCCACTCCTGCAAGTGCTCCAAAAGCCCTAAAGCATTTTCCTGCTCATGAGACTCCTGTGGGGGATATGCCTCCACAGCATCACTCCTCAGTGATCAGATCTCAAGCCTTCAAACAGCCCTAAATGAAAGATGCAAATCCTCCTCTCCCGTTTCTTTCTGTTCTTGAAGGAATAGATGGAAAAACTGTAAGCATTCATATTTGTGCAAATAAATACTATTACGAACAGTAAGGTTTTATGCTGGCCTAGAACAGATTCGGATCAGAGCAGGAACTTGTTGATCTGACCTAGGGCAGCTCTCACATGTAATAACACTGGTTAGGAACAAAATGCTTTTTTAATGAGAAAGATCCTGCCAGCGAATTTCAGACGTGCCAGCATTGTCCTCCCATGCACCAAACAGAAGTCAGCCTTCACAAAGTTTACAGTTTTCCAAATGTTTTAGGCTGGACAGTTTCTGAAGAGCCACAGGAAGCACAGCACTTGGTAGTGAGATCTCCACATCAAAGAACAAAGCTGAGAGCTAGGTAAAAACTGCAGAACTCAGGCACTGAGTGTTTTGCAGCCAACAGCTGTTTGCAAAACACCAAGTAGAGGACACACAAGGGTCAGCATCTGAAAAAGGAATGTGGTAGAGGAAGGGAAAAAGAGGAACAAAAACATTTTTCTGCTTCCTCTGGTATTTACTTGACCTTTGCTAAAATTACTCATTCAAGCCCTTTATCCCGCACAGGCTAGACACAGACACGTGGTCTTACCAGTGGTCTGCGCTTCAAGTTTGTTGAACAGATCTCTCCAGGCTACATCTTGGAAGAAGTTGTTGTATCTATAATCTACAGACCCCAGATACTTGGCCACTGGATGAGAGCCTAAGAAAGAAAGGAGAATGTGACAGTTGTTCTCCCCAGCAGTGAACACAGGTGTGGCTTTTTGTCTGTAAGGAACTCAGTTCCAAAATCAAACTACACTAGACACGACAGAAACAAATTGCCTCAATTATAACAACATAATTCAGCCCAGTTTATCTCTATAAGAGCATGCAAATAGACTTGCTAGCAGAGAGACTGCTCCAGCACTGCTGATACCTCCCAGTGATACCTCCCCTTCCCCCCGCCAAGTTAAACTTTAAAAGGCCAAGGCAAACAGGACTGGGAAACTGCTGAGGAAATAAATGATATGGGACACACAGACCCTACAACTCAACATCTCAGTCGCTCAGCTCTGCAGGCAGCTCTCTCAGCAGGCCTTCTTCCCCACAGCTGCACTGTGGGCACCACAGATGGAGGAGACAGACTCTTTCCATTCATGCATCATTGCTGTTTTGCAATACAGAGAAGGGGAAAAATCACCTGCAACCAGGAGCCACCACCCAGGGAGCCCTGCTTAATTGGTGAAGAAACAAAATGGCCACTAACTCAATCAGAAAACTGTAATTAAAGACAAAAGGATTATAATCCCTAGTGAATGTTGGCATGTGCGTTATGTCTCTGCTTGTCCTAAGCCTCACGCTCCTCCAGGAGCATGGATAGGGCCTACTGCCCCAAAGCATGTCCAGCCCTGGATGGAGGCCTGCCTACACTTGAAACTATCACTGAAACTATCACCTCTGCCCTGCCAGAGGCCAAAACACTTGTCACTTTCCTTTTTAGGTGCCACGTGTCCCAGATCAGACAACCTGTTCTTGAAACTACTGCTCCAGCCTACCAGCATAGGAGGGAAGGTGTTCCAGACCTGACCATTTCAGGCTTTGCTGTTTCCATACCCCAGTGTGTCTTGTATATTTACAGTCAGACATGAACAGGTCCCAGGGCCTCCCCTAATCAGCTTGTTTTCACCTTTCCTGCACACTGAATTCTCATATGAAGTCATGCTTCCCGAGACCACAGCGGCTGCAGCTTCAGCTGGTCATCAGCACCCGACAGCTCCTCCCAAAAAAACCTTGCTTAAATATGCTCAGCATCCACCATTAAAGCTCAAGGCAGGGAAACCCCATGCTGCTCATCCTCCAAACTAGCCCTGATTTTCAGACTTCCACAACCGGTTCCAGCAGAAGGTTTCTAAGCTCCCTCCAGCATTATTAGAAACTGAATTGCAAGTTCTTTTCTGATAATGGCTGCTTGGAGACTTTTATGTCTTCTATAGTGGAGTTTTAAAGAGTAAACATGGAACAGCTCTGTCTCATGCACTGGAGAGGTGACAGCTTTCCCATCTGTTGGGCAAACATCACACATGGCAGATGCAGCTGGAAACAAGAACCAAAAAAAGATCTCTCAAAAAGTTCTACCCACTGGAGCTAAATAAAGTGCTAAAAAACCAAACATGCAGACAATAACCCTCAGCTTTTTTTTCCCCTTTCTCTTTTTTGCTCCTTTTCATCTGTTTCTTCACCAGTTCCAACATTAAAAGTGTCTTTCGGCCACAGAATCAGAAGCACAAAGCAGGACTCAATCTCCCAGTACAGATGTTTACTCAGTATTTCTCAGTGTTAAACCACTACAGGCTGGCTCCTCTGTCATTACAGCATGGAGTTGTGGACTAAAAACGTCAAACCATCTTAGAAAAAAAAAAACAAAAAAACCAACCAAAACCAACTCCTTCCCAATCCTACTTTGAAGGTGCTGCTATCAGCAGAAAGTTTTTTCCTTTTAAGACACCCACAGTGTGGTCACCATTCGGTCTTTGGTGCTTTTTCAATTGTCAGAAAAGAGAGGCTGGCTCCTCAATCACTTTAATGAAATGCCAGAAAGCTGGCCATGAACAAGCATCTCATCTGACCAGGAAATGCTGCAGACTCTATGGGGAAGGTCCTGATAGAGAAGCTTCTATATTTGAAGTACGTTCAAAAAACATCCCCAGATCTGAAGCAATTGCATTATAAACATAAAGCTCTTCATTCTATTTTCTTTTTTTCTTAAACTATCACTGTCTTAAGATTAAAAAAAAAAAAAAAGTCTCCAAACATTACCTAAGCCTCGTGTATCACCTTCAGAAAGGGAATATTTTCAGATCGTTAAAAACTGCAGATGGAAAACTCCACTTTGAATGCAAGGTGACAGGCAGCATGTGAGGACCAAAATCCTCAGCCACACAGACTCCTACTCAAAGCAAAGTTAAGCCTGCAGAAAATATTTTTCCTTGTCTGTGTTTCTACTACTTAAAGGGTTCTCTCTCTCTTGTTCCTGCCGACCCCCTTGGACACAAAATGCCCTTCCTACAGAAGGATCCGGCTCTCATTTTGTCTTCTCCACCTCTCACCACTATCTTGATAGGCAAATCCCCACTGCACAGGGTGCCGGGCAGCAGCTTGTGGTGCCTATAGGAATGCCAAGCAGCTGCTTCCAAACCTGAAAGAAGTGTTTTTCTAAAACACTTCCAACATTACTGCTGCCTTCACCACCCAAGAGCCCTGCTCACACAAGACAAGCCTCAGACTAGCCCAGCTTCTTGCCTCATACACCTACAATCACAGCACTGCCCAGATACCCCTGCCTGTAAGCATTAATGAAAGCCTGTCCCCCCTGGCCTCTCTGCTATAACATTCCTCACATTTTTGCCCTTCACAAACCCCTAATGCTATTATCAGTCTGCCCCTGGACACAAGGGATGCAAGCTGGGTTACTTCCCAGCCAGACAGGCTTGTCAAGCTGTTACAAGGGCAGAGATAAGGTGCTGGGAGACTGAGAGTAGAACCTGAGGAGAACAGCATGTGAAGGAAAGGTCAAAAGATGTGTGCAATTTGAATAATTTAAACTCTCAGCAGTTTCAAAGCCTTTAAAAATATTTCATCTTCCCACTCCTCCACCAGAAACATTTTCTGTGTTAGCCTCAGAGAGATCACAGCAGTTACCACCTGGGGAAACAGTGCTCAATGAATTAAAGATTTCAGCCAGAGAAAGGCCTTCAAGAAAGAATATTATTCTGTGCATTCACTGTATCATGATAAAAAGATATATATGAGCCTGCCCATATAGGAGAAAGGACTCAGCCCCTTACTTCAGGCAGAACATTTACAAGCAGACTTTGACATCAAGAACGAAGATGAAATTCACTCACACGAGCAATGCAAGCATCAAACAATATTATGCCAGCATGACATCTTTCTCATTTAACAGCCATGTACTTGGTCAAAGCCTTCAAGGAAGACTACTGCTAAGGGAACACATCACATTTAACTCATTCATCTTTCCATGAAGAAAAATTGTTCCTTATTTACCTAGAGGGATGATCAAAAATCGCATGTAGCCAAGCCAGTCTGGGGTTTTGTGAGACAGCTGCTCTACAAAGAGCCTCAACACAGCACTGAGGTAATTCTGGGCTCCGGCCACTGCAATTTTAATTGGGCTTGGAGGCTGAGAATTGCAGTTACAGCTAGACAGAAGAAGAGGGAACATATTCGTAATTGTGTTTCCAACCATTTCAGAACAATTAAAAAAAAAAAACCAGTTAATAACTAAGGTAGAACACAGCTCATTCGATACACAAGGCAATATCACAATGATCATCAGAAGCACTGTCAATAAAAAAAGCAACTTTGCTCAGTACTTTCTTAATTGGTCTTCCTGACTTCTTTCAAACACTGTAGTGTCTATAAGGGGTTGGACTCGACAGTCTAGGCTGGGATGTGCCTACTGCTGTGTCAGAACATAGCCACAGCCTGGGGAATGCCTCCAGGAATTGAGAACATTAACTGAGAACTAATTCAAAGTGTATGGGGAGAAAAAAAAAAAACATTAAAAATTGTTCTAAAATCTGTTAGCTTTGCATGCTTTACTTATTAGATCTGACATTAGAGGCAGGCTCCACAGTACAATCTTGTAATATCAATGCTGTCAATGTAAGGAGACTTGTATCCCCCCACACAATGACGACCAGCAACACCTTGCAGGGCTGGTGAGTACTGAAGAACCCCACCACTCTGACTTCAGGAGAGTAAATGAAGGAGAAGCATTGGAAGGGAAAATTATTGCTCCAGTATCAAATGGAAAACTTCCTGAGCACTTGGGCATAGGAACTGAGAGGCTTTTAGTGCTGAGTACCACAAGCCCTCCTTTCTAGAAGAGACTCAACAAGCAGAAAGGCATAACTTACTATCGCTGTATCCTGGAGACAATAGTGCTGAAAGCTGCTTGAATATCAGCTGAGGAACATGTACAGACCACTGGCAAGGTATGCTTTTGTAAGACATCTGACAGGTACTAAGGAGAGAACAGAACATATTAAAATCCTTCAGTTTGTCACAAGAAGAAAGTCTCATCTCCCCCACACTCCTATGAATCCTTTCAACAAAGTGTGGGCATTCTCCCCATGACCAACATGTAGGTGACAGTTGCTTCCCAAACACTTTTCTCCTGCGCATTAGTGAAAGAAAAGCTTGTCCTCTAGAAAAGTGGAGCCACTGCACCTGCTTGACAAACACGGACAGTTCCTCCAGGACAGGGCATTTTTGGCAATGCTGACCCTAGGAGAGCAATTCGTATGGCTGCAGAGAGCAGGGCAGGAGCAACAGGCTGTCTGCCTAACCAGCACTGGGTAAGAGCAGATGTTCTTTACTCACCTGTTTGTGAAGCTGAACATGCAGCGCTCTGATTTAAAAAGACAAATGCAATATTCTGCCTAGCCTCAAGTACTAAAACAAAAAAAAGCAAAGACACTAACAGTACATTCATTGTGACTGACTGCTCCCATTCCATGCAGCTCAGAGGAAATACAAGTTAACAAACACCAAGTTCACACGGACATAAGACTGAAGATACTCAGCAATTATCTCACTGCCCCACTAACCCATGCACCACAGCCAATGCCATCTTTGTCTCATCCAATACTGCAGGCAGAGCTGGAGGAGACATACACAGCTTTCTCTCCAACTCTGGAAAACATTCCTCCAAGTAAGAGCAGCTGGAACCAGCAGCTCAACTGGTATTTTTCATCTCTTACACACTGAAACCCCAGTTCTTTCAAAAGCAGAATGTGTCAACACACTTCCAAAAACCTGGTATAAGCCCACAGTCAATCAGTACAGTGTCTCTTCTGTATACATTTTATTCATGACTCAGACTAAGGATCAGAAAAGAGCAAAATCTGCTCCAACACCCATCCAAATCCACTGCAAATGACTCCACATTGCCACCATAAGAGTGTAGAGCTCAGTTCTCCTTAACAGAAGTATCACACACTAAGAAAAGATGTGATAAAACATCCCCAGCCAGGAATCACAAGAATGCATGCAAGACAATACTGCTGAGCTGTTTTCTCCTGCGGTCATCACCTGAGCCCAGGAATATCAGTCTAAACCACAAGTCAGCCTTCTCTATTTCCTTTGTCCCACCCTACCATGGCTGAGAAGCAAATGCTTGAGTTGCAAGAGTGAAGCCATACCCAGCGTGCTGCTAACCCAAAGAAATGGCATTTCATAGAACAGAAGAAAACAGTTTTTCCAGGGAAAAAGCGAGTAGCAAAACCTTAAAAGATCCATAGCATCCCCTGGTCAAAGTGATCTATAGGCACCAAAACCAAGCATGCTGCAACCTCCTGCACCACCACTGCCCGTCCAACCAGGGAGCAGAGCCTACTTGGTCAGTGGTAAAGCTCAAGACCAGTCCATTCCCAGTGAGAAACAGCCAAAGTGAACTGACAGCACGTCTCCTGCCTTTACCTGTCCTTGCCAATCTGAAGTATTGACAAGAATAATGTTTTCTGGCAGCTGGTCGTCAGAAACCAGGATGTGATTTAGTTGGTCATACACAGTTTTCCTGGGGATCTGGAAATGAAGACACAGAACAGAACAGTAGGAGATATCAGTTCTAATCCCCAAAGTTTTGTCTGTCACTGCTCCTTCTGCAGTGCACTTTTCTTAAAGTCACTTTATACCAACTCAAAGTAGCTTAAGGAATTCTGGATATACAAAAGCCAGCAAAATTCTTTATCAAGGAGGAAGCTAAAGGAATCCTGCAGTTGAAAAGAGCATGGCATGGCACAGAGATACTTTGCATAAATCAGTCTCCATTGCAAATCCTTGCAATTTGCCTTATTTCAAAAGAGTAATTCCTCAATACATCCCTATTTGTTACTCATGACAACAATCCATTCCAGTGTTTTCAGTTTATGGCTGGCTGACAAAGCAACAAGCTGGCAAAAACCAGCAGACAGGATGGAAGGTACAATATCAGCCAAGAAGTAAATTCCCTCCTTCCTGGAGCTGCAGGGTTCAGCTACTTTCCAGCAGGGACAGCACTTTGGCCAGAAGGAAAGGGACCGCAGGAGACAGATGGAAAAGACAAGAACTGAGTGGTTGGATAAAAAGCAGTATTTTTCACACCTGTAAGTGGTGCCGGGTGTCTGGAGATCGTTCATTGTCCAGGCTGTTTGCTCTCTCATTCTGTGGCCTCACTGGCTGCCTCTCTTTCAGAGATGTGCTTCTCCCCCGACGTCCAGTTTGCTTCGCTTCAGACCTGCTAGAAAAAGGTGCTTTCAGTCCATGCTTGGCTCATATCTGAGCAAGATTCATCCTCAAACTCCTAAATCACCCCCATCTGGCAACCTCAGCAATTTAACTCCAGGGACTAGAGAATCATGCATGGAAATCTGAGGCAGCATGAGACCTGTTCATTCTGCATCTAACAGTACAGAAGTTACAGAGAAGAAAATTCAGCTGCAGAGTATTCTAAGTCATCATGTTTCCAGGAGTCCCAAGCAAACTTTCACAGCCCATACCAAGAGCCACACCACCACTCTGCTAATTGCCATACCAGCATAATGCAACCTAGCTACACCAACCACAGACACACACCCTAGAGCACAAAAATGCCTCTTCAAAAGAGCATCTATTTGCTTGAAGTAACCAAAGAAACTATATGGTTGGGTTGTTGAAGCCCACATTCACTCTGCCATTTGGGAACTCAGACTTAGCAACTACCTTTAAAGCCAAAATCTGCATCACACCACTTATCTTTGAGCATGAAGCCTCAGAGTAAACGGTTGGACTAGGTGATCTCAAAGGGTCTTTTCCAACCTTAATGATTCTAAGATCCCTGAGCAATCAGAGTAAGATTGCTCTGTGGCTCTTTGAATGCATTTACGAAGCACCCACGTTCCTCTTCTCTCAAGCACCTGAACACAAGGCCAGCCTCCCTGCTGGACCTACAGATCCTACTGAACAAACGATAGCAGGCTGTCCACAGCTTCCCAAGGAGCCTTGCAGCAGCTGCAGTGCTGTGTCACTGCTCTACCTGGTGGATGGGATAATGAGGGACTCCGTCTTGGTGATCTTCCCGCTGGGTGGGAGCTTCTCAACAAACACATCTGGTGCGGGAAGTTCTGCTTCTTGGACCTCAGCTTGCTGGTTAGACTCCTGCAAACACACACAGAACCACGTGAGGAACAAACGCTTCCCTCTCTCACTACTGCAAGGCTTGCAGGAGACACGCCAGCTTGGCTCTGGCTGAGCCACGTTCAGGCTCTTCCTTGCAGACACACTGCTCACTGCCAAGGGGACAAGCCAACACTGGCTATCTTAGGCTCCCTGTTCCTAGCTCTGCCTCACAAGGGAACTGGAGGCTGAAAAGGTGCTTGAAAATACTACTTTGGAGCAGGCACTCTCTCAACTCAAAGCCAAGGACAAGCTTCCTTACGCAACACTGATTAATTCAGTTTACCCAAAAGAACCAGTAGAGAGAGAAACACATAAGAGAAAAATTACAAATAGCATATCTTCAGAAGAGCAACTCGAGCTTTGGGATTTTTCCCCAGGATCAGCTTGATTTCTGCCATTTCAAATTGAAGGTGTCTGTCTGGCATAAAGCACCAGCTTTGAGGACACTTTTCACACCAAGACACACGCTCAGTAGCATACTTCAGCCTTCTTCAAATCAAAAGAAAGACTGTTTAAATGGAAGGCCACGTAGAGCATTTTAATTTCAGAAGGCTGAAAGATGAGAACCTCTGACAACTGAGGTCAGGAGGAGAGCCCAGCAGTATCATCACTGCAGCTAATGTAATCTACACAGGTTGTGATGCATATGCAACTATAAGAATAGACAGACATGCACTACAGAACACAGTTCACAGTTGACACTCAAACTGCCAAAGTTAAGAAGCGAGTTTCCAACTTACAAAAGAGACAGTGTCAGAAATACTGTCCTCTGTGTGTTTGGTTCCAAGACTCTTTGTCTTTTCAGGCACTTCTACCTGCTTGAGAGGAGAAAACCATTAACAGGTACAGCAGCAGCACAACTTTTCAGCCACACTCTCTGGATCAGATTGTTTGAAAGACAGTTTGAACACTGAACAGCTCTGCAGGAGCACTTAGGCTCCTACCAGAACTGAATGCATTGGTATAGGAAGTAGCAAGGCAACAGAAAAATCTTGCAAGCGTATTTAATGCAACAGTCACATTTAAAAATTGGGTAATGAAGGCTCATGAGAGGGTCTGTTACCAACCCAAAAGATGCAGGCCCTGCATGTCCTCCCCCCCCAGGTTCTACAGTTGTGGTACTAGACAGTTAAGCATCGCCCAGAACAGTCTGCCCTGCAGCTGCTTCACAGAAACAACCCTGGTGTTGTCACAGCTTCCCAGTGCTGCCAGGACCTGGCACATTGTTGATGACAAGACAGAGGCAGATCAGACAAGGGATGCAATGGATAATGGTCACAAATAAGAAATGTGTGTTTGGAAGACCAAGGGAGGGCGCTCAGAGAAAGGCCTGTACAAGGAGCCTCTATTCCAGTGCTTCTGGGCACAGAGAAGTAACGTCCAGACCCTGTGCATGGTCCTACTCCCTGCTTGGGAGGGATGCTGCTGATTAGTGCTGTGAGGTGCTTCGGCACCTTCCTTTCATTCAGTCTTAGAAACTCAGCACCTAAAACCCTCAAACACATCTATAACTCTACATTAAGAGATGTACTGCACCGTACAGACTATAAAGAGAGGTCCTCCAGAATTGGGCTGATATTTTCTGTGCCTAGAATGCTCATCTAAATAGAGATGGAAAAGAGTGAGCTCCCCCCTTCAGAATTCTCTCCCAGCCACCATGAAAAGGAACACAATGCAATGTGGTAAAGGCTTCCCTGAGCACTGCCAGGAAGTCCCTAAAGCTCCCAGGCAACATCTCCCACCCCGGCTATGGCAAACACATGGGAATCTTGAGATACTCATACCATTGGCAATTATTCAATACATAAACTGAAGATGTTCACTTGAGTTAATACTTTATTTGCATTAGAAATGAATAGACCAAACCACGCTTTCTTCAGAATATTCGTGTCTCTGCATCTGAGTCTTCAGAGGAGGTCACAGAGGGTGTCTATTTACACGTGTAAACAGAGATGGTGCAGGTGACAAGGCTGAGCACGGCAGGATGATACCAGACAGTCAGAGCACTTTAATTTCAAAAGGAATGTAGGTGGATAGACCTTGAGCTGCTATATTAACTACAGGCAGATAACCCTCTTGAAACGACTTACAGGACTTGATGGCTCTCTCTGGCTCCTGATGCTGTGGATGCTACCGATTTCTGTCTGAGAGCTGGAGTGTGACAGTCCTTCAAAATAAGGTCTGAAGAAGGAAAGCAAAAACACCTTCTTGTTATTAATAACATTAGCAGAGGAAGTCCACAGCAAAAGAAATGCAATTGTTCCAAGGTGTCCTAACACTCCTCAGCGGTTCCAGTAAAATTCAGAAGCTACTTTTGTTCCTCTGAGTGAAAGAAAGGAAGGGGAAGAAGTCTCCAGGACAGCAAAGGAAACAAGAAAGTCTAAGGACATTTGTCTAGCCCCGACACTGACTGACTGACCTCCATTTAATGGCTCCAACACATCAGCTGTCTTACATTAAATCATATTCATAAAGCTCTCACAAGGAATGCTTGCATGCTCTCACGCTACATGCCAAACAGAAGTTTTTATTTCCATAAAATCTGGGATGGGCCCACGGTCCAGCATTTTCACACTGCAGGACAGAATGCACATTAACTTCACAGAGGCATTTGAGTCATTCCTACCCCAAGCACCAAGTGCAAAAAGTTTCACACTGTGAATTTTGTTTCAGCTCTGCAAATGCTGACTGAACCACATGCCATTCCAGGCAAGATTTTGCTCTTGATGGAAAGACAGCAAGTGAAGGAGAATTACTGCCACCCCACCCATACTCTGCTCATATGAGTAAGTGACTCTTGATGCTAACATGCATTTTATTTCCAGCTTGCATCTGCATTTGGCTGCCAGCCTTAGGATCCAATTACACATTTGCTCAATAAGATAAGATAGCACATACAATCAGATTTGTGCTTCCATGTCAAAAGGCAGATCATCACAGAAGGCTTCAAGGCTCAATTATGATTTAAGGAATTGATTTTTTTTTTTCTTCCCCAGGAAAAAAAAAAAGATGCCTACAGCCATCAGCATTCATCACATTCATTTCACAATATGAACATAAGAACCAGACAGAGAAGACAAAGTGTCTCCCCAAGATCAACTAGAAGTGATCCCTGGCTCAGTTACACAAAGCTGCCATATATCAGCACCTACAAAAGCTAGTTCAGAACAGGCTTGGGTGTATCTACCTGTGCTATGGTCAGTTCCCCTTGGGCTCTGAAGAACTCCTTTGTTCCCTGCAGTTCTGATTCTTTAGTCCCTACGAAGGCTCTTTCCACATAGGATCCTATCAGAAAGATTGCCTTGCCCATCACAACTTTCTGCCTCTGCATCTTCTAACTGTTCTGCCACAGCACCAGATTTCCTGTCTGTTTCTACCACCTCTTCAAAACACTTGTGTACAATTTAGTTCCACTATCTTCCTGTCAGCAATTGCTACTCCTATGGTCAGGTGGAAGGGCAAGCAGAATAACTGTACGGGGAACTAGTAAAAAACAAACCAACATGAAGGGAAATTAGCATACAAGCAGTCATTAAATTATCATAATGTACACTGGAGCTCTGACACCAGGTTGGGGAGAGCTGTGGTAATAAGTGCAAATAGAGCATGCAATCTGTGTTCATACTGCACACTGTCTCCTTTCAGTTCCAGCTCTTGGGAGACTGAGTCCCAGGCAGCTGCCCAAAATGACTACACCGCAGGGGACTGCCCAGCATCAGCCATGCCATACTTACTTTAACTTTGGCTTTGGAGTGCTCAAAACACTGTCATCATCTTCCATTTCTGGCCCACTGTCACTGGGGTTCTCTATATCCAACGTGTCATAGAGAAGGTCCAAGTCCTCCTCCACCTCTGGAACGTGCTCTGCAGGGTCCTGCTCTGAATCCAGAACCTACAGGAGAAAAGCAGGCATTGTTCACTAGGAGTCAAACAGATCCTGTGTCACAGGAGATCCCTTCATTACTGCAGGGCATCAGGCTTAGATTCTGTTTCTAGTGCGAGGATACTATATCTAGCAGAAACATTAAGCATACCAGGAGTGCTTGTTGGGGGCAAAGCTGTCAGTGTCTGATTAAGCAACACTTACCTATTAGGTTAGGTATCCTTGGACAAGCTATTAACCATATATCATGTCAATCATGCTCTATAAACAAAGCCTTAAGAAGGCACCCTACACAGTCCCAGTTTTCTTAGAGAAAGTACAAATATGTGGTACTACAAAATGAGTACTTCATCTTGGGTGTTCCTGAAAAGTTGTCATTACACCTCCTGATTTTGTATGTGGTACCCAACCAGGCAGAAAAGAAGAGCAACGTCCACAGGAGGCATCAGAAACCTGGACAAGGATCAACTGCAACCCACACGTAAATCCAAAGAGAACACAAATCTCACATCAAAACTCCCCTAGGTTTCTCTACACATACAGCATAAGCATACAGGTGTACACAGCTCTGAGTTTGCTTTTCAATAAGAGCTCCAGAAAAGCAATATCTTAGCTGGCTGAGACCTCATATAAGGGTGCTGATGCTGCTGAGCTAACTTGGGAAGAATAGCAATGCTAACAGGTCTGTCTGGAAGCATAAGAAAGCACGAGGAGTTACTCTTTCCCACAGGCCGCAATATCTGCATGCAGACAGTCAAAAGAGTCGTTAACAGTTTTTATATTAGGTACTTAATGTTATGCAGGCTCTTGGGTTCAGGACCTCTTTCATTTTAAGCTCTGACCAGAAAACTGTGTTTCTTGTGGATCTACGTATTGAAATTTTTCAAGTCTTGCCTAGCTGTTCTAGTAAGATTATCAAAGCAGTGGTGATTTAACTTCACAAGCAACATACGCAGCACGCTGCTTGCCTTTGAATTGGTCAAAGACAGTTTTGAAGACTGCTTTGAAATTAATGGGTAAATAAATGAGTGTATGCCAAAATCTAGATTTGATAAAATTTGATCTTGAAAACATTTGATGACAGTTGGCCCTCAAGCCTCCATGCAAGGCCAGGGTAACATGACAGGTTATATCAACTGCAAAATGAATGGAACCAGGGAGAAACAGGAGAACGTTCCTGGGGACTACAGCAGGGACCACACCGAAGAGGTGAGACAGCAGTATGCAGACAGAATGGTTCTAGAACACATTACTCACCTCATCAGACACTTTAAATCTCTTCAGCAATGCCACAACCTTCTGCTTGAAGTTCTGTTGCTGCAAGTCAAAGACATTTTTACATGAGTAAAGCATCACTGAACTGCTTTCTCCCAGTGTGTAAGAGGTCCAGACACATGACACTGGTGCTCTAGCTGCTGCTTCAAGTCAAAAAGACTGCTGGCACCACAAACCAAGTCCCGGCTGTTCACACATTGAAAACAGCTTTTCCAGACCTATGACACTCTCTTACTGCCTTACAACAAACTAGTTCCCACTATGCTAAACCTAAGAAACCTTCTGGTTTCTTAGGAAACGCCCGCGTGAAGAAAGTTGTTTGCTGGCTTGCCTGTATCTCTTGGGAGCTTTCCTAGTAAACCCTGCTGGACCCACCACTCCAGCCCCAGGCACTTCACAATGCCCAAGTCTCCAAAATTCACCTTTTACCACTGAACTCAAATTCTGTAAGCTGCTGCCACCTTCTAGACAGCTGAAGTTGAGGTGAAATGAAAGGTTCCAACAAGACTGTTCAAAGAATGGCCCCCATTCACTGATGGGAATGAGATGCTCTCTTTTTAGAGCTGTCCTTTGACTCAGGATGTCAAGGAAAAATATCCATCATGCAGATCAGCTTGGGCCAACATGGCACTCTGCAGAAGGAGCACACACAACAGGCAGTAGCTAAGGCAACATGGCAAGAGCTGTTCTCTGGCCTGAATGGTCTGACAGTCAGAACACAGGAGCCCTGCTGAGGCTGATGTTAAATTTATCAGCAGCACCTAATCCCCACCTGCACCAGCCCTATGCACTGGAGATTCAGCATCAGTTCAGTGGTCAGGGACAGAAAAACATTCTCATCATTAAGTTAATAACCATGGGGTCACCTGCTGTCACTAATGCCTGTAAACAATATTAAGACATCAAGGATGTGAGGTAGTACACTCCTAGTCTTATATAGTATTTTTAATCACAGGTTCAGATCAAAACACTGTTTATTCAAGACCTTTTCAAACATGGATTTGAGAAGCAGCCTTGCAGAAGGTATAAATAATCTCCAAACATATTTCAAAGTCCAAAAAAACCCCAACAAACAACAAACCTAGCCCCATCCTTGGCAATAACTCCAAATCACATCACAGACATGCACAAACGCTGGTGTAAGCAGCAGGCCACATTGTACACTACGGTGCAGCCAAGCGCAGGTCAATGCTCCACATGGAAGTTCAGTTTTGCAGGCAAACACATGCTTGCTGTCAGAGAGCAGATGGCTGGCTGCATGCTACTCACCAAAGCCTTCAATATCCAGCTACTCCTTTGGCCTCAACATGCATCACCTCAGGTTCATGTGTTTGGCTCCAGACCCTAACTGAACTTCCTTCTGAAACTTTCCCATGGGTCTCTCCCAGTGCAGAGCACAAACAGAAGATCTTTCCTTTGCTTAAGCCAACTTTCAGGATCATGTGAGCACAGATATTGCCCTGGCTTTGTTATGGGGCTGATTTTCACATACTTATATGATTTTTGGAGCATCCTAACCTTGCAGCTAAAGAACACTCAAGATACACACACATCACGGACTGCTCCGCTCCCTGATCTGATAGTTTCTGCTGGCTCTTCGCATGCTGCAACCATGCCCCCAGGCTCCCTGCCAGCATTTCCAGCATTGCTGCTCCCACAGGTCACATGCACTGCACATCCTAGCCAAACCCCATCAGTGTTAGTAAAACTAATTTCCACCGACCCTGGTTATGGACGTCGTTCTTACTATCGATCTCCGCTGCTTCTTGGGCTTCCCCAGCTCGTACTCATCATCATCCAAATCCTGAACAGAAAGAAGATTCCTTTGTTACCTTTGTGGTTTGGGGACACGCGATCACCTAAGTCCTAACAACATTCTCTCTATTAGCCTGCTGCTCTGTCTTGCAGACTGTCAGCATTTGCTTCATTTTTCAGCAGTTACGATGGCAGAGGGAAATGGAATTGAACTACGCCAGCAGAGAGCTGGGAACACCAGCTCAGAGGAGCAAAACAGCCCAAATTCTAGAAAGAAAAGGATTCTCTCAGCCCCACATCTCAGTGGGTGCCTCTTAGTACCCTCCAAAACACAGAAGGCAAGTGATGCCAGAGTCTGAAGGCAAGTAAGACCCAAACTCAGAAGCATCTCACTCCTGCACAGGGAGTTCCCTGTCAGGATCCATTTTGCAAGAGATACTAAAGGCTAAAATCTGACTCACATTCCATCAGCCCTTAAGTTATAGCTAGGGGCCTTGCCAGGCTCTTTGAACCCAATCAGCATTACAGAAATAATCAACTGCTGCGTTAGCACAATTGAGCAGACAAACTCAATATTTTAGTGTTTAAAGGGGACTCAAGACAACACGTAAGGGGATAAATCACAGCATGGTGAAAGAAATGGGTTGCTGTGCATCTCCATTCTCCTCCTGCCACTGCAGCTCAACATTTGGTGACAGTCTCACACTGTCACAGCTTACCTAAGGAAACAGACTTATCATTTCAAGCAGAAGCTGAGAATACATGCTCTACAGAAGCTCTCACAGGAAGAAGCCGTGCCCTAAACAGTACCTGGCCCTGCACGGCATCGTCACTGGCCTCCTGCTCAGAAGAGAAGCTCTCGTACTCCTCCTCAGAATAGTTATCTGAAAGGAAAGAAGGGAGAGATCCCATGAAACTCCTTTAATGCGAAGAGAAAATCTCATTTGAAGAGCAGAGAAAACCAACTAACAGTCACAAACCAAGAAAGGAGGTACATAAGGAAATGCTTGCTTCTTTATCTTTTATCTGTGTTAGAACCAATGAGATGGGAACATCCTGGAGATGAGGAACAAGGAGAAACACATCTAGTAAGAAGGATAGACCAACACACAGATAAGACTCCTTAGAATACCACTCCCTTTTTTCTGGAAAGAATCACCTGGCAGACAACAGCAAGAAAGTAGTTTTTCCCACAAGGGAAGGAATTTTTCCCCCTTAGAGAGCCTAACTATCTTCAGAAGACACGCCAGGAGAGTCTAAATTCTATTGACATGACACTTGAGATGACCTGCCTGGCGTCAGGCAGCAACACACATGTACCTGAATGCACTGCCTTCAACAGGTCACTCTGCTGGCAGTGAGCAGAAGGCTGCTGCTACAGAGAAGGTGGAAGACTGTCTCGAACAGAAACACAAGTACTTTCCTACATCCTGAGCAACACTGGGATTTACTTTCATTAAACCAGATCATATTCCATTTAAAAATATGACAGCTCTGTAGGTATTACGTAAGTTAACGTGTATTATAGAACAAGGAAGGAAAAAAAGTTAGGATAGCAATAGCAACTTAAATGTACATGTCCTGAATATGACACTGTTATCCATATGAGGAGCTACAGGTTCTCAACACACCCACCAGTAATGCTGGAAGAGCACAGACCTCACTTGCTGCATGATTTAAGCCTTGTGTGAACCTCTGACAACCCCTAACACTGGCAGCCACGCTCCTTGCTTACACAGCAACAGGTTGCTACAAGTTGGTTTTCTCTGCGATTACCAGCTAAAGATAGAGGCATAGTACAAGCCTCATTCTTCCCAGGAAGCATCTAAGCTCAGGTGGAATTTAACTCCAGTTAGTTCAGGATGGCATTAGTCCCCAGAGCGTGCAGTTGTACTTCACCTGTAGACTTGATTTTCTGGCTGGCCTGCATACTGCTGTCTTCATGGTCAATTGGCTGACTTGACAAGGAGAAGATCCAGATTTCTGCTACCTTTACTGCAGCTTCTTTGATGTTGCTGAAAAGGCTCAGTACCTGGCCACCTTCTGTGGGGTGCTGCATGACCTGGGACAGAAATCACGCACAACAAATCTGCATTTAAATGCATTTAAACTTGCACCGTCTGTATTCTACAAGAGTTATTTATGTTAACAGAGTTACTTCAGATTGTCAAATAGAGAAGACAGACAACACCCTGCAACTGCAGGTGCCACATGCAGGCAACACACAATGCTAGCTGAAATTTTAGTTGGCTGCTAATGCAAGTGATGGAAGGAAAGGAGAAATTTTCTGAGCTTAACAGTTGACTAGGTCACCCATGAAACATAAAACTTGAATACATCATTACTATGTATTTGCTCTCACAGAATAATACTGATTTGAATCATCAAGTTATCAACCTTCAGAACCTTCAAAGTTGAGGAACTTAAAAGCCAAAAAAAAAAAACCACCAAAATTATCAGTGAGATACGCAGCAAAGTGCTTCCTAAAGCAAAAATTCCTGCTCCACAATCTTGGAGGAGATGGCCATACTGGGCTAATTAAGTGGTGACTCACAAAATGCAAGACATGGTGGATGCAGACACATCTCAGTGTGGGTTTCTCACTGCAGCCATCTTCCCTTTGACGCCCACAGCTCTCAGAGCTCTCCTCAGAACCCAAGACTCAGGTTCTTCTCTCGTCCCACCAGACACAGCAGTTGCTTCCCCATCCCCACTTGTCTGCACTTCAGCTTCCTACCGCACACCAGGCTTTAAAATGACCTGAGCTGATGAGGAACACACACCCTGTCAGGTTCATGTTTTCACCAACTTTTCATTGCTTTGTTTTCTTTCAACTCCTATAATAACTTTGCACGTGTCAGTGCTGGGCAGGGGTCATTCAACTATAAACTGCAAAGGGAGGGAGGCTTCTAAAAGGATACAGCATTTGTTTACCCAAAGTCTTCAATTTCAGAAATATTCCAGATGAGCTGGAAAGTAACTGTTTCCCAGCAAAGCAAACCTTTGGAAATGCATGACCTTCTAAACTCAGTCAGCTGACATTACAAAAAAAAAGACATAAGAAAAACCACACACAGCAGCAAATGCCCAACACTCAGAAGTTCACCAATGGATCTAATTAATGGGCCCACACATTTTCTGCCTCTCAGCAACAGTCAATTTCTAGCTCTTAAACTAAATGTGGTACAGGAAAAATGTTGCCTATCAGACTATAAATCAGAATTTGGACAGTTCAGATGGGGAGATCTACATTTAATGCAAGTCTAAAGAAGCTGAACTTACACAACAGAAGCATTCTTTATAATAAATTATTTAACACTGTAATAACTCACCACAGCATAACATTAATTTACAGGTGGAAACAATGAAAGTATTTATTGGCAGACTGCAGTCTGATGAAACACGTTGCTGCTGCACTGAACCTGGAAGGCCTGTCCAAGTGGCCTTAACAGCCTTGTTTCCACAAATATGAAACATTTAAGACAAATGTGTTAGCTCAGCTCAACCAAACGTAGTAATACAAAAGAAAATGCATTAGCATTGAAATACATGCAGAAGTGTTCTGAATGCAAAGGGGATTTGAGCTGCATTTGGGTGAGTTGATGTGGACCTCCTAGCTCAAAACAAAAACAAGATATACTCCACAAACCTTGTAAGCTAATAAGCCTCAAGAATCCTTTAGCCTTCAATATGCTATCCAGAAAATGTGCAATATTAGTACTCAGTACTAAGATCTGTTTAAAATATTGTTCTGTGAATACTAATTAGCATTAAGACAGTTGCATGAAATCCATCCAGGTACTTCTCAATAAGGAAAGTAATAACACTGGATTTAAAGTGATGGGGAATCCCGCTCCTGTAAGTACGGACCGTGCCAAACAGTGCTCACCTCAGCCATGTTGATAGACCCCACAGCCAGAGTCTTGTAGCCTAGAATGGTTCGGTTCTTGTATCGCTTCCGCCGCTGCAGCATGATCTGAAGCTTGTTGCCTTCTCTCTTCAAGAAGTGAGGGTACTGGGGTTGAAAACAGAAAGCAAAAGTTCATTATGTGCCTTGATTTTATCTCCCAAGATGTCTGGTTCACAGGTAAGCTCCATTCCTACACTGAACTAACCCTTAACATGCAACCCTACATTCATTATCAAGGAAGCAATCATTTCTGACTCTCATTTTAAAAACACAGCCTTTGTAAAGCTCTGCCGCAGAACCCAAGTGCCACACAAGGGGATTAGTGGGCATGGGGAGAGCCCAGGTAACCCCATACCCTTGCCTTTACAGTCCCAGGACAGGAGGCAGCTCAGGCCTGTGAGTGACCACAGAGCGTGAGGCACTGTGATCCCCACCAGGCACTGACAAAACAATCCTGGCTGTTTGGAAGGGCTGAGCCCAAGTCCAGTCCCAAAGAGATGAGCATCCTCCAAGAGATGGGCTGCAGAAAGGAGAACCTCACTGCAGAGACCCTAGTTGCATACTGGATATTCTTAAGTGAAGGATGCTTCATCTCGCCTTTTTTTTTTTTTTTAGCTCCTCTCCCCACTTTGGGAAATTGTGAGAGTAACTTCCTGCCTCTTAAAAAACTTGATAAATACAACTGCTGAGTGCCACCAGAAACCTGGAGATGTTAATTTGCAGTCCAGAGCAGGCCTGACTGCTGCGCAGAGAGCCAGGAGCAGTGGCCGTGCAAACAAGCAGAATACCAATTAACTGATTGCTCTGCAAGGATGGGATCGACTGCCTTGCATGAGGCAGCAGCCCTGTGGAAGGGAGGAACAGCAGTCCACGTAACTAAAAGATCACCTTAAAACGCATTTGCATCCAAACACAAATTGAGTGCGACTTCACAGATCTGCAACACTGAAGTTACTGAGGACTGGAGCTGCCAGCTGGGATTTTCAGAAGGCAAGAGGCACCTTGTGCATTCAAACCTCCCATCCTCCTGCAGCTGAGACCCTATCAAGTGTTGGGAAGGCAGTAGGGAAGAGGGATTCCTTGCTCTCAGCTGGAGGCGTTGGGGTCCTCTGAGGCTGCTTAAGCATGAACCCCGCAAGCTGAATTCTAAAGTCATTCTGCGTCCCAGGCCAGTTTGATCTCCATGTCTACAGTTTTCTGGAATTCAACTAGATGGATCAAGTCCACACACACAAATTTCTGTTTTTCAAAGGTGTGTGAAGAATCTCTGATAAAGATTCACAGAAATATTAAAAAATAAAAACAAACTAAATAGAGATCCAGAGACATTCATGCCACTCAGTTAAAGGCAACATCCTCTGGAACACCCCAGCCACTCTCACTGCACAGCTATTTTTAATTCCTGCCATCACTTGTCAGATCTACAAGAATGGTTTCAACAAAAACTTGTTAGTAACTGCCACTCCATAACCCAGTATTTGAAAACAAGACACAGGAAGCCCCAAGCACTGCAAGCACCTCCAAGGACAAGAAGAGGGGACCGTCATACACACCAGGGAACTTCAATTGATCCTGAGAAACTTGCAGAGGGTCAGGAAGAGCATCCATTCCAGCAGTCAGGATGACAGGAGCTTACCTGCCAGAAAGGCTTCTGCTGGTCTCAGCCTAGCTAGCTAGGTGAATCAGATTCAGATGCACCATAGCTCTAGTCTTACCCCACCTGCATAACAGAGCATTGCCCACATGGACAGCCTGCACAGTGTGCATGCATGCAGAGCGAAGCACACAGGGCAAAGAGTGACAGCACAATATGGAGATACTGGCTGCTGCTGCAAGACACTGAGGCTTTCTCATGCTGAGACATCCACATGCTTTTACTCCGTAGTCCATCACCACTCTTAAAATATCCCAGGCACTAAATTCAGACTGTACCTGGCTCAGACTATACTTAGCTAAGAAGCTTCCAGCCATCGTCCAATTAAGAAATAATAAAAGCTGTCATAAAAATCCTGCTGTGCCATTTCAGGAAGGCTTCCCAGACCTCACTGCATCCAAGAGCACTAATCCTGCAGCAGAGAGATCAGCAGCACATCTCTGCACTAAGCTTGCTCATCTCACAAACACTGTTCTGAAGGCTTACAGCGTCACGGACATCATTATCCCCTGTTCTGGCTCAGTTCCCAGCCCCTCCTGGGGAAACCAACTTAAAAACAATGCTGTGTGTCCTGCTGCAATATTGCTCTGAGTTGCTGGGAAAAAAAACACAAACACACACACACACAAAAAAAAACCACATTCCAAAACAAAATCTGCAGAAACATTTGCTGACACAGGATGGGCAGAGATCTGGCTCATCCTAAGGCTCTGCTCCCGGTCGCTGGAAAGCTGCAGTCTTTAAGAATCACACATACTTACTCCTGGCACGTGGATTTCTCATTCCTCCTCACAAAGGAGGGTATGCAGTGCTGCAGTTAACCCAGTTTGCAAGCTGCATCAGGACAGAACCAGAAACGCCAGCCATCTGTGTACCTTCCCATGCAGTCCCAGGGTTATCATCTGTCTGCAGTGAAATCTCACCTACCTTGCCTACCCAGGGCTCAGAGTAACAGCCAGTCTGTCCTGCATCACCACTGCAGTCCTTATCAGATCAAACTCCAGATGGCAACATCTAACCCTCAGCTCCAAAATACATTTAACCTCAACAAGAATGCTTCCGAGTGTCTGCTCCATGCATGCAGGACTTTCTCTTGGGCTCACAGCAACCCAGCCTCTATTTCCCACATTTCCCTGCTCAAGAGGCAGTACTAGGGCACGATGCTCCGAGGAGAGCAGCCAACACAATACAGAAGGATCCTCAGTGCAGACCCACAGAGCACCTCTGCTCACACAAGTGTCCTGGTGCCCCGTCCCACTCACCTGCAGCGAGAAGGTCAGCGCAAGCTCTGTCTCCACGTGTCCACTCGGCGGCAACACGATCTCATGAGACCGCAGGATGCGCTTGGAGCCCTGCACAGAAGCAAAGTCCACGTGGTAAATTGCCCAGCCAGCCACTTTCTTGCCATCCAGCCCAAACGGCTCAGCCGTAGAACTGCAGAGCTCCAACTATAGGCCTTACTCTCCCTGATATTACCCACAGCTGCCTTTGTGCTGCCTCTCCCCAGGGAAGGGATAAGGCAGCAGGTTCTGCAGGAGGGGCTGTCAGAGAGCTGGGCTGCAGGCAGTGCTGGAAAGATTATGGCCTTGGATAGTGGGAAGGAAGACTGGACTGAAATGGAAGTAGCCCTGGATTGGCATCCCAACTCTATTTAAACAAAACTGGGAAATGCTTTCAGAGACTACCACAGAGAAAGTGAATGGATGGATCTGACCTTGCACTTGTGCAACATATTAATGAGACGAAAAGGGAGATATTTGACTAATAAAGATTTGGGCATATTTACTGTCCCTAACTGCAACAAAGCAGCTTTTGTTCTGCCAAACCCCAGCATTCAAAAGCTATGAGTCAGCCCCCACCCCTCAAGCTGAAGTCTCATTTCATGACTGCAGCCAATAGGTAGCAGGCTCCGCATCTCCTGGGTTCACAGGCTGCAGTGTCACACACACATCTCTGGCATTAGCCTTGGTGGACTGATTTTTCTCTTTGTACACACACCCCTCCTGGAGAAAAGTGGAGATTTTAGTCTATTTCAGGAATATTTCAGAGAAAACTAGCAGGAAAGCACAATAAACCTCTGCCTAGCAAATGCTTCTGTACTGTTCAGATAGTGGTAAGTTTCAGAGGTCTCTGGCTCAATATTCTGCTGAGGTTGCAGCTCTGGCTTTGTCCAGACGGGCTGATCTCCCAGAGGCACAAAACTGTAGCTCTCAAAAAAAAAGAAAAAACGGCATCTGGGAAACCAGAGACAGACAGGGACTAAACACCTCCCAACTGCATCTAAAGTAAAACTGCAAATGTCTACTGCACAGCCCCAAATAATATCCCAAAATGAGGGAAGAAGAAGAGGAGAGGCTGAGACTGGGTTACATCCCTTCCTCCTCACAAAACCAGAACGCTGTGATTTGCAGGTGCCCCCAGTACATCAAACAGCAGAGCAGGTTGAAAACTGGAGGGTCCCTCCCAGCAAAAGCAGCACGTGTGCAAGTTAAGCACAGCTGGCCTTGCCACCGGCAATAGCAGCATTTGTTCCACGCTGCAAATCTCCTAACAGTAGCAATCTTGCTTTACTTGTTACGCAACTCAAAATCTAATGAAAGCCCAAATATAGCAGCTTTAAAAAGACTGCAGCAGATAAACAGAGCAACAGCCTGGGAAATACTGTTGACAAGTCTTTGAACATCAGGAGGGATGCAGACAGACATGGGAAATGCAGGTAGGATGCTCTCATTAGGTCTAAATTCAGTCATTCTTTCTGGAAGGGCTGCAGTGCTGACACCTCTCTTGCAATTTCTCATACACAGCCAGCAAGTCATTTGACAGAGACCATATACTTGAAGATCCAATATCACCAGCTGCAAACAATAGCTGTGTCAGAAACCTGAGTGCTGGCAAATTAAGTAGCCTTAAAAGAGCTTGTCAGCATCATAATAACCTGCAAGCCACGAAGGAAGGCTTCAAATCTGCCTGCCTCTGAGACAGTCACAGTGCTACTGCCCTACCATTAAATAGCACATCATGAGATATGAGCAATGATCGAACTGCAGTGCCAGGGACACCCAAGGTGAAGCTATGGGCACCCTCTGGGACAGCAGTTATTGCAGCTGCTGTGACCTCAAGGCCAACTGAAAGGACAGATGAAAGCAAAAACAATGGGCAAGGATGCAAGCTGCAGCATGGGACTTGGCAGATAAGCACCCCAAACTTTTCCAGTTACAGAGGGCAAGTGCTTTTGCTTTCCAGTTCTTCGGGATCTGCCCCACTACAGAAGGGACTGCAGAATAATTTCTCAGGTCTCACTGTGTTACTTACTGTAGCAGGACAGATCACAACACATATTTAGAACAGACAAGAAAGTCCCAGTTTTTAAAACTCCCTTCAGGCTTTTTGGGCTTCCATGTCTGGAGCAGCACATTCAACCTTTTCACCCAGAGAACGTGTTAAACTCCTAGCAGTAACCTGGATGGGAAGAAGCTTTGTTCTAGTAAAAGCTACTGGATTTTGCAGCCCAAGCCTGGCACACTCTGTCTGTAGATCACTCACTGAGAAGCCTCGGGCCCTGACAGTGATGCACACGCTAACCTGTACAAACATATGGAGAGCTTTCAGCCCTGATCAGCAATATCTGACAGCCTGGGAACCCACAGCTGTGCATCTTCAGAATTCAGCTGTGTGAAACTATTCCCTATCTTTCTGCTCCCTGCTGTGGATCTGTGAATCCCTCCAACACAGAGGGACACAATTTTGCTGCAGCTGGACTGCTCAGAGATGAGAGATGTTGGCTAAATGCTCAGCTGCATGTTCTTGGTCCACAAAGCCTTCATGATTTCACCTTCCAAGTTAGATTTTAACACAAACAGATCTCTGCAGGAATTTGCCTGCCCCTTTTTTGAAAAGCAGCTGCTTTTCAGCATAGTTAATGGTACTTGTCTACTTCCAGGTCCGCCAGGCTTTTAACCAGTAAGTACTTCAGCATTTCCAGTGGTGGGAGCACTCGAGCTAAACTGACGCAATGACACACTGTGGAACTTACTCACTACCTGCTGAACACCTACCTCCAGGAAGCATGACCTCTATGTAGAAACCTAATTAAGCAGCACAAACCCATGTTGCAAAGTAGGTTATTTACCTAGGATGAGAGCTGTATCTTATGGAAACAAACTGAAATGTACAGGCATCTGATAAATCAACTGACAAGTACCTGGCTACAAACACGGGTTGGACTTCTGACAGCAGAGCTGTCCATTGGAAGAAGGCCCAGCCTTCAGAGCCTCCCCAGCCCAGGTCCAAATGACCAAGATGTTCTGCCCCAGCAAGAGCTGCAGCATGCTAAACACAAGCTTAGATTTGGTGACTGCTCAGGAAGATCAGGTGACAGCATATGATATGAAATGAGCATCTTTACCAACATATAAAGCTTATGCTGAGTCCTTAGTGAACAATATTCTTCACTAACTACAATGAAATTTGGTAGGAACACAGGAGAAGGATCACAAGAGACTCTCCACATGCACAGAACATCACGATATAAGTGTGGGAAGTGGCCCATAGCCATGATAGACCTCACACGGAGGCACCTGCCAGCATTGTTAACTCAAGTACCACATTCGATTCTTAGAGCTGACAGCAATTACCTGCATTTTGACAGCAATGACCACAGAAATAAGCTCCTTATCCAATTCCTTTAAGACTACCAGTTTCTTTAGTGTCAAGCTGCACAACCTGCAAACAGGAACAGAAGAGAAACAGTTATAATCATTGTCTGAAAAAGGAAAAGCTCTGAACAGCTTCCACACAACAGCATCTCTGTTTGAGGTAGAACAGACTCCAGTCAGGAGCCACACAGACACGGACATAAAGACAGCAGGAATACCAGAGGCTTCCCCAGCTCTTCAGGCTGGATTTCTCCACACACCCCCAAACAGGAGGAGGCAGCCTGTGGGTCCGTCTCACGGCCTGGTGCAGACCCATGGCCACATGGGAGAGCCTCCCAGCACAGACCTCGCAGACCGCAGCCTGGGAACGCTTGTTCTGATTCAGCCCAAGGAGCTGTAGGGTCAGAGCAATTAAATTCCAGCAATGTAAAAGCAGTGGGTCAGGCTAATTTTAAATTTCTCTGCAAAGCTTTACTAGCCTGTTGGCTCTTTCAGTTTCAGGTTCTGGGTTCCCAAAAATCTCACTCCCACCTCCTCTTGCGGATCCTACTCATCCCCAAACAAAAGCGCTAGCAAGAGGTTCAGACCTCTCTAGTGGGAAAGGAAAAGAAACAAAAGAAAAAGGAGAGGACTTGCATAGTGCTCTGCAGCCCTGGCATGCACATGCCACACATACGCAGCTAACTCGCATTCTTCACCCTGGCAATGCTGCATTGTTCCAGTTAACAATGTTTGCACTTCTGCCTTCCAGCACAGAGCGCTTGGGAGGGGAGAGCATTTGGAATAGGTGCAGGCCCAGCTCTGAGCTAATGGGGCTACGATACTGGCACTGTCACAGTTTCACAGGAATTACCAACAGCTGGTTTAAACACAGGTGTGTGCCTCGAAAACAAACTTGGGAGAGGGATAAACCTGAGGAAAGCTGCAGCCAGAGAAAGCTGCATGGGAGGCTCTGGAGACAGACATCAACCATGATGCAGATGCTGACCAGGAGCAGGCTCTGCTTCATGTCTGGGGTCTGAAGGAAGGAGGCTGTGATGCCATTTGTTGTCTTTGTGAGGCCATAGCTGAAGGACAATTGCCCCAGGCTTGCCAAAAGCCAAAGAGCTGTGGGCAGTCAGGTGGTGTGAGCAGAGGTAGCACAAGGCACTGGCATTGTCCGCCTGGCAGGAAGGGAACAAAGGCCCTCTCTGTGTGTCCAGGCTGGAGGATGGAAAAGGTACACGAGGGAACAATGGCGTTCTCAGCACACCCAGCAGAGCACAAGGAGGGCGTTCTGCCATTCCTCCAATTCATCATTTATGAGCTTTGATCCAGCCCCACGGATTGCTTGCTGCTCAGAAAGAGGAAAAAAAAAAATTATAAGCCTTCTTTACAGCAATCAGAAAAACAAAAGCTGTTGGAAAAGACACGGGGACGCATCTGCTTTCTTTATCCCATTGTTGGACTGCTGGTTCTAAAAGGCACTTCACACAAACAACAATGAAATGTTTATACTCTCCTTCAGGAGAAAAAAAAAACATAAAACAAGCAGAGTTTAAATCTCACCAAAACACTTTCACCCTTAACATGCTTAGAGTTTCAGCTCTTCAGTCTAAATACAAATCAAAGCAATATTAAGAATACGTGACAGAAAGGGGCCACAGACAGTCACAAGCATCTTCCAAGCGAGGTGGTGTGCCCACAGCAGCAGTGCAGCCATGCCTGCCCTATGTGCCCTCCTATGCCTCTGTGGCTGGGATTGATGCAGGGGGACCTGAAACAATCTTATAAAACAGGATGAAGTTACATTTGGAAGTTTCCCCCATATACGCAATCTCAGTGAATGCAGGGGGAATAAAGAAATACATACAGACATACGATGGGAATTGAGGAAGTCTCAGATCTGAAGTTGAAAGAGCCTGAAGTATTTTAAGTGGTCTATAAAAAGTCTGGAACCGCATGACAGCAAGGGTAGGCAAACACTTTTGTTGTGTGTTTATTTCAGCATTGATCTATGGTTGCACACAGGGAGCTCAGCTAGCAAAAGCACCAAGCTAGCTGAAACTAGCTGCAGAAAGAGCAAAGGAAATGTGAGATTTCCACCTCACTTTGGAGGTCCATAGCAGACCTCCCCACTCAGCACAAGCTGCGATGCAGAGGGACTCACGTTCCCTTGGTCACACACCATAGAGAGGCACAGGCTGCTCCCTCCTGATCCCCTTCCTCAAGTTAACACATGACATCTAAATACATCCTACGACAATAAAACCCAGTTTTAAAGAGGAAACCTTGGCTGGACCCAAGGGCTCCAATGTGCCCTGCTGAGGCCAGCTGTGCTGTGTGGCTCCACCACATGCTCCTCACCTGGGCAGAAGCTGTGGGCACAGAACACATTTCACTAACAACAATCCTAGCTCAAACAGGCTCAGAGCAGCCACACGAGGTGCTCAATTCTTTATTCATTGGATGCTCTGGTTTTGCATCCCTTGGAGTAGAAAGATCAGGAAAATAAATCCCCTCCAAGAAAGACTCACTGAATTAAATGTTTGTCCCTCCACAGGGAGCACAATAATTGCACTGAGACCGTGTTCACACAGAGACAGCCAAATCAACAGGAAAGAAGAATTAAAAATTAAAGACCTATATTTTAATTAAGCCCAATGGAAGTCAAGAATAATAACAGAAGCAGGGGCTCCAAGTGCAAGACAGGAGCAGGAAGGCTTCAGCTCACGAAGCAGATGTCCTTGCACTGGCTGAAGTCTGCAAGATACTGTTCCTAGAGGCAATGTTTCATTCCAGGAGCACTTTCCTCTGAGTTCTGTAAGCATGTGCCAGATGAGAGATGCAAGCAAGGAACCTGTGCACCAGGCAGTTCCACTGCACCCAAAGCTACTTCAGTGGTAGAGACAGCAAGCAGCCTCCTACCCCTCAACACTGAGTGTTCTGCACTTAAGCCGACACTTACACTCAAGACAGTCCCAAAATAAACCGTGAGCCACTTGGAGGAGAAGTGAAGAGAGACACTGCCCACTCACATACCTCCCAGACAGAGCCTTTCTGCACATGGCTACAGGGCAGCTGTGTGGGGCAGGCTGAAGAGAGGAGCCCTGCACAGCATTTTTCTAATGCAGCTGTCTAAGCAAGGGATGAACACGTGCAGAGCACACGCATAGTTTCAGACACCTGTTTTGCATGTGCCCAGGTGAAGAAGCACTCTCCTGTCCAGCTACTGTGCTCACATGCTTCATACTGCCTAGGAGAATTATTCCAGGCAGAAAAGCTGTTCTCAACGTTACAGATGTGCCAGAGTAGGGCCACTGGGGGTTATCAATGGTAGAAAACACAGGAAGAGTGGTTCTTCACTCTCCAAAGCTTATGAGCCAACTCCATCAAACGTTTCCACCTTGATCCACTCTCAGCCTGCTTCCAACCAGGAGTAAATTAAATGAGACAAATCAAATGCCAACTCCTTTCATGCCAGAAACACAACTTGAGCAACTAGCAGAGATGCAACACTGCCCTGCACTAGTCTCAGCCTGCTTCTCCTTCATTCACAGTTACCACTAAGCTAAATGGAATCTTGAGTCAGCTGTTTTGGCTACAGGTGCATTCAGGTAAGCTGTAAGCCAGGAAACAACTGCAGGGCCAGTATTTCCACTGTTCTTTAGGATCTTGAAATCTGCTTCCCAGCATTAACACAGAGAATTAAGCTCTTAAAATTCTAGAGACGAAGATCCATAGAAGAGCTGCAGCAAGCAGATCTTGTTCTAACAGGTAAGAGGATGGCAGCTTAATTTATGCAACAGGCTGCCCCTAGGACCTCACAAGGACACAAACACGCAGCAAGATGCTGCCCTGTTACTGCCAAAACACTGTGCTACTCACTGCACATATTTTGCAGTGTACTTCCCATCCACACGGGTGGGATATCTGCATGTTTGTCACCAACCACATGCCTCCACCTGCACACTCAGAACACCGCCACTGAGAAACTGATGCATTCTCTCCCTTTCTGAAGTTCTTCACGCATCTGGTGACCTCAGCCAGAATCTTAGTTCCTCCACAATGGTCTCTTCATGCTTTGTGTTGATGGTTTCAAATCCCTGACTTAAAGGAAAAATCATGAAGAAGAGATCAGGTCTGTTCCTCAGACAAGCAATGGTATACAAAGGAGTCCATCTAAACCACTTGTGTGTTTACACCACACTGCCTGCACATCCAGGCTCACAGCTAGTCTGTGCACCTCTCTCGATGTGCCTCCTTCAAATCCAGCATCCAGAGCACCAGGAACGCGTGGCATCCTGACAGCACACTAACTGTGAATGAAGGATCCCACGGTGCTGGTGGATTGAGTTTAATCCACATTCTAAAAGTTCTGAGGGAATAGAATGGTGTCATTTAACTTAAAAAAGCTGAAGTAAGCTAACAGAGAAAACATGACTGATGATCAAGACTGCTTTGACAGACCAACAGGACTACATTTCCAACAACACAGATGACACAAACATTTCATATTTGCTGTACTAATTTTGTAGTAGCTGGAGCAACCAAAGGCACCAATGCCAGATTCCCACTGAGCACATGATGAGAGTGGTCAAAGCTGCACACGGGGAGGGCAGCCTTTGGGATATGGGCTGGTGGAGCGTTTTCTGTACCTAGGGCTTCAGTTCTCAGCCAGCCAGCAACAAAAGGAAGACATGTAACACTGTAACACAATGGAAAGTTCAGCAACCATAGCCTAGCAGTAAAGTCCCAGGTTGCTTACCTTCCAAAGGCCTCAGGCACACAGGGATCTCCAGCAAGATATCCTCACCTCCACTGCCAGCCCTTTAATGAGGTCTGGAAAGGGGTGGATCCTGGCTCCACTCCTTCCATCACTCAGGTGCACAGCGCACACCTGAGCTCCCCTGGGTTGGCCCTGCCTTCCCACCAGGTGCTCAATCACTGCTTCAAGCTGTAACTTAGCATTTCTGCTACCAGGCACAACGCACAGTGAGGCAGCCAGGCAGAAGGCAACTCCCCACCATACACGTTAAAACCAGAGCAGAAAATTATGCCCAAACAATGAGCAAAATTGATTCTGGG